AGCCCTAAGATTTTTGAAACTGGAGAGTACTTCTCACTCCAACTACTGCCAATTTAAATCTCTTCTCCTTACTACTTCTCAACCACCCTCTCTCTTCCAAACACTGCTTGTTTAACGAGGACGTACTTCCTTCCCAATTTGTCTTATACTTTTTTTTAGATAAGGGTATTTTTACCCGGCCTCTACATCTAACCGGATATATACGGCCATTGAAATAGGGAACTTAGCCCCGCAAACAACCCAATCTAAAATTTACTCCATAGGAGATTTGAACTCAGGACCTTGGGGTACTACTCAGGTCACTATAACCACTAGGCTACATGCCCTTTCGTATTTGTCTTATAAATGTTAGAATTGTTTTTATAACAGAGGCAGAGCAAGTATCAACCAAAGATACTTCAGGGTGAGATATCAGTTTGAGTATATTTTAAGGGCATTAATTGGGATGAAACAAGGGCGCATTTAGGTTGTGTTTAGTTCACACCAGAATTGGAAGTTTGATTGAAATTGGAACGATGTGACGGAAAAGTTGAAAGTTTATGTGTGTAGGAAAGTTTTGATGTGATGGAAAAGTTGGAAGTTTGAAAAAAAGTTTGGAACTAAACACGGTGTCAAATGACAGAATTTTTCTGTGCATGTGAGAGATTAGACTATTATCGCACGTCGTTAAAAACATGGCAGGACCGCACAAGAACCATACAAGTACCCTTTTTTTTTTAAGATAAAGAGAGTTTTATTGATCTTAAACAATTACATCAAGATGATACAATTTCTCTAAGACCACTCTCGGCCTCTGCATAGTTAGGATGTACACAGCCTATCAATATTATAAAAGAAAAGGAAAAAAAAGCGACACAACTGCTACAACCGTGCCGCAGCGACTTACATCTACGAGTAATCTTCATCTCTTATCTCCACCAAAACAACACTTAGACTATCAAACGGACTCCCTTTAAAACAACGCCTCCAATGAGGAAATGACGTGCGCACGCGTCATCATTGTAATGTTCCAATCAACTAAGATCAGACCATAGGTTTTCACCTAGGGAAATTCTGTGAACTCTAGACAATGTCTTCAAGAAGGAAGAACATCCATTGCCAAGTACAACCAACTAAGGACAGACTTAGGGATTTAACCCCGGAGTTAAAGAATTAGTAACAAGTACCGCCTGAATGAAGCCCACTAGTATTGTTGCCCCCTTATTCCGAGACAGAACCTCCATACCCCAAACTTAACATAATCACAAAAGGCCACGAACATAATTACCTGCATCCTTCTATAGATATCCTTCGAAGATAATGTCGCGAGAAGCCAAAAAGGCACACACCCAAAATCCATAGGCCATAGCTAAATACCCTACGAAGATAATGTCGTGAGAAGCCAAAAAGGCACACGCCCAAAATCCATTGGGTAGATCTAAAGGATGAGATATAGATAAGCGATACCTTTAATCGAAGTCAAGCTGACGATGGTCTATGGTAGATCTGAACGCCACTGCCTTATGATGATGAAAACATCATCGCGAGAAGTAGCCACTAAAATGATGAGAAGAAAGTTGGCATCCGCCTCCTTCAATTGTAGCCTGCCATATTACCTTATCGGTCCCAAAATAGATCCCTCCACCACCATCCACAACGAACAGCTAGAGGGTCATAGGAACGAAAGAATCTACGAATCAGGCTGCCGGGTTGTGGCGACGAGTGTACTCTTCACCTCGAAACCCCAGAACACCTTTAGCGATCTGGGAAGCAAGATGAAGAACCACAAAGAGAAGCGTTTGGGGAGACGAGGCTTGCCGTCGACGAGTCTTGGTGGAACCACGCGACGAGGTGAAGGTTGCCATGGAGTCTGAACCCCTACCGGCACCAAGCGCATGGTGAGGAGAGCTTGGCGATGTCCACCTCCGCACTCGATCTTGAGCACGACGTGCCTGTCGCCCTGTTCCTGATGCCGCCACCGACAAATTCTTCCAGAATCGCTGATCAGCGCATGTCTGCATGATGCCCCACCGCCGCCTTCACTGCGCCCCGCACGGCAGCGCGCTCGGGCGGCGGCGAGACGGCTTCACTTAGGTGGTGTTTAGATCCAGGGACTTAACTTTAGTCCCTGTCTTTAGACACTAATTTAGAGTATTAAATATAAACTACTTACAAAACTAATTACATAAATAAAAGCTAATTCACGAGACAAATTTTTTAAGCCTAATTAATCTATAATTAGAGAATGTTTACTGTAGCATCACATAGGCTAATCATAGATTAATTAGGCTCATTAGATTCGTCTCGCAAATTAGTCCAAGATTATGGATGGGTTTTATTAATAGTCTACGTTTAATATTTATAATTAATTTTCAAACATCCGATGTGATAGGGACTTAAAAGTTTTCCCATCTAAACAGGCCTTAGCCGGATCGCCGATCCACGCTCTAATCACGGATCGGTGCGCTCGCTTCTGAAACGGCTACCTGACCGAATAATGACAGGCCCCGCTGTACCATACAAGTACAGTACAGCATGGAGTCAGTCAGACCGCCATCCTCCCTTGCGCCTAGTTCGGACGATTGTAATGAACGAGGATATCATTTGAATTTTGACTTTACTGAAACCGGATAAGGCCTTTGAACATAATCATTGGGGCTAGCAATTTAGGTCTACGTTTCTGATTGACCGCCTGATCCCGGCGGTTTCACCGTCTTTGACAAATTTTGAAAAAAAATTCCTGTTTTCGAAATCCTTCCCGAAAATTGATTTCGAGCCATATAGTAGACCCTGTTTAGTTCTAAAGTTTTTTTTTTAAACTTCTAACTTTCCATCAAAACAAACATTTTATACACACATAACTTTTCAGTCACATCGTTTCAATTTCAATCAAACTTCCAAACTTCAGTCTAAACTAAACACAGCCGTAATACCAAAAGATCGTGAAAATCAATCAGTTTTTGTCGGTAAAGTAAACCCTCAGCTTTTCTTCGTCGTTTTGACGTTTTGACTAGGAGCTGTCAAGTCTTTTTTATTTTTTGAGAACTAGGAGCTGTCAAGTCTACTCCGTCCATCTCAAAACAAGACAAACCATGGGTTTCCGTATCCAACGTTTAGCCGTCCATCTTATTTAAAAAAATATGAAAAAAATTAAAAAGACAAGTCACGCATAAAGTATTAATCATGTTTTATCATCTAACAACAATGAAAATAATAATTATAAAAAAAATTCATATAAGACAAACAGTCAAACGTTGGATACGGAAACCTAGGGTTTGTTTTTTTTAAGACAGTGGGAGTACTCGGCAAGTCGGCAGTAGCCAGTAGTACGACTAGCAAGTCATGAGGGTGTGGTTAGATCAAGGGTCTAAAGTTTAAACGTGTCACATCGGCTATTATATAGGATATCGTATAGGGTGTTCGGACACTAATAAAAAACTAATTACAGACTCCGTCAGTAAACCATGAAACAAATTTATTAAGTCTAATTAATCCGTCTGTTTACTATAGCATCACATTATCAAATCATGGAGCAATTAGGCTTAAAAGATTTGTTTCGTAAATTAGTCGCAATCTATGTAATTAGTTATTTTTTAGCCTATATTTAATACTTTATGCAGGTGTTCAAACATTCGATGTGACAGGGTAAAAAATTTTGGGGTGAGATCTAAACAAGGCTAGTTAATAAATAAAAAAGAAAACTATAAAGCGACCATGAAGGGGGTGTAGGATCGTAAAAGTAAACAATTCTATGCACGTCAACCATATCGGCATGTTCATTAGATCTGGCTGCGGCTGCAGCTTCTCTGCAGCAACAGTAGCTATTTACTGACAAAGCGAACATGGATATACATCGATAGAACAACTTGATATATGAGGATTAATTAATTTCATAGTGAAGAATGTTTTGGTGTCATAGGTGTTGATGGCCTTTGCCTATATTAGGGGATGCTCTTTTTTTTTTCCGAGAGGGGATGATCAAGTTAGAATGGAGAAAGTTCATCTTTTAGATTTGTTGATAATTTTTTTAACAAATATGTGAAGCTGACTTGATGCTTGATAGAATCATCCTACTAAAAGAATAATTAGTGATGAATATGAGCATCCATGTTAATTCTAATACTTAAATCCAGTGAACATATTCCACCACAAGAAATCTAACCAACCAGTTAAATTACACATACTTTTCTTATTTGAGCCAATTTCATCCGTAAAAATATTACAGTATATTTTTAGTGAGCTTATACGGAAAGATGGGAACAGTTGCGATTTTAATTCATTTACTAAAAAAATAAAATATACCGATGGTATTACAACTTAAAAAGGATGTAATTTAGTAGTTTATTCTTACAGGTTGTTCAACACGAATGTTACAAAACATATAGCGCATGGCCTGTACTCATTGCTAAGCTGGTAGATTGCCCTAACATTATACGCTCGTGAGCAACAGGGGCATGACAAATTTATGTGTCGAGACCAGCAATGAAAATGCAAATCAACTCCTATATTCTCAGTGTGTTGCTGCTGGTGTGTTTTTCAATCAACACATCTGCATAGTGGTTAGCACTAAAAAGAAGGTTCATCTTATATCAGATTTACTATCAATAGTGCTAGTAGTAATTATTGCACGTACCGTTGGTTTATTTGTAGCTTATGCGTGTATGACCGTGTTAGCGAAGTGATCAACGTGACGCATGTACATGGAACATGTTTTACGTTATTCGCATATTCGGAAAAGATCATTTACTTGTTTGAGTATTTTGCTAGACAAGTGACAAAAATATACCCCTTCCGTCCCAAAATATTTAACGCCGTTGACTTTTTTAAACATGTTTTACTGTTCGTCTTGATTATTTTTTTAAATAAGTAAAACTATATATATACATAAAAATATATTTAGTAATGAATCAAATGATATGAAAATAATTAATAATTACTTAAATTTTTTTGAATAAGACAAACGATCAAACATATTAAAAAAATCAACGGCGTTAAATATTTAAAAAAGTCACCTTGTAAAATTGTGATACAATCGGTATATTTTACTTATTTATAAATTATTCTATAATTCTTTTTTTAAATAATGCAACACAATTAATCTCTCTACTAATTTAGTCAAGAGATTAAGTGAAGAATATAATACGCAGCAGGATTATTTTGCCGTGTCAATCCGAAAAGCATAGTTTATCAATCTGCTTGGAGAAAACCATGCTTAATTTGGATCAAACCTACCGAGATGTTTTAGCCACGTTTACGAAGGATTGACGTGGCCCGCTCCTGGACAACCTTCCACGCTTCGCGGACATGGCGCTCCTCGGTGAGCGTGCTCCCGATGGCGCACCTGAGCATGTACACGCCACCCACCATGGCGGAGCTCATGTACGGCCCCGAGCTCGCCGCGTTCACCTCCTCCAGGAGCCTCCTGTTGAGCTCGTTTGCCGCCTTCTCGCCTCCGACGCCGACGCCGACGCCGAGTCTCTCCGGCGGCGACCGGAGGCGGAAGCACACCAGCGCGAACCGCCTCGGCGCCACCACCTCGAACCTCGCGTCGCCCCTCACCATGGCCTCGAACGCCGCGGCCATGGCGACGTGGGAGCGGACGTGGGAGCGGAGGCCCTCCACGCCGTAGCAGCGGAGCACGAGCCACACCTTGAGCGCGCGGAACCGCCGCGTCAGCGTGGTGCCCCAGTCCTTGTAGTCGACGACGTCGTGGCCCTCCGCCGCCGCGTCCCTGAGGATGTACTCCTGCTCCGTGCCCAGCGCCGCCACCAGCGCCGACGGCGCCGCCACCCACACCGCGCAGCAGTCGTTGTTGGCGAGGAGCCACTTGTGGGCGTTCATGCTGAGCGAGTCGACGGCCTCGGCGCCGGCGATCACGTCGCGGAACTCCGGGCACACCAGCGCCGACCCGGCGTACGCCGCGTCCACGTGCACCCACACGCCGCCGTGGCGCGCCGCGACGGCGCAGAGCTCGCGGACGGGGTCCACGGCGGTCGTCTGGGTGGTGCCCACCGTGGCGCACAGGAACAAGGGGACCAGCCCGGCGTCGACGTCGGCCTGCATGGCGGCATGCAGCGCGGTCGGCGAGAGCGCGAACACGTCGTCGCGGCACGTCGGTATCTCGCGGCAGTGCTCCCGCGGTATCCCGGCGATGCGCGCGGCCTTGCGGAACGCGAAGTGGGTCTGATCGGAGCAGTAGACGACGAGGTCGCCGATCCTCCTCGCGCCGATCTCCGCCAGCTTCCGGTCCCTCGCGGCGACGAGCGCGCAGAGGACGGCCTCGCACGACGTGCCCAGGATCGTGCCGCCGCCTCCGCCGGCGAACAGAAGGCTCTCCGGCAGGTGCAGCGCCCTGCCGAGCCAGTCCACGACCACCATCTCGAGCTCGGTGGCGGCCGGCGAGGCCGCCCACGTGAAAGGCACGACGTTGATGCCGGCCGCGAGCGCCTCGCCGAGGGCGCCGACGGTGCTGCTCGACGCCGGGAAGTGCGCGAAGTGGCGAGGGCTCTGCCAGTGCGTCACGCCAGGCAGGATGAGGTCGCGGACATCCCGCAGCGCCGCCGCAAACGCCTCGGGCTCCGGGCGGGACGGCGCGTCGGCGGGGAGCTGGCGGCGCAGGAAGCCGGGAGTGACGCTTGGGTGGACGGGGTAGTCGCCCAGGCCGGCGTAGTAGTCGGCGATGAAGTCGACGACCTGGTGGCCGAGCCGCCGGAACTCGTCAGCGTCGAGCAGTAGCGCGGTATCTGACGCCGCCGGCGTCGACGTCGTCGTCTCCACCTCCGGGATGGCACCATTCCGTGGGGCACCGCCATTGATGGTGTGGCAGTGCGAGGGTGGTGCCATCTGCGGGAACGGGCGTCGGTACGTGGCGGAATAGGCGGTATTAGCTACCAAATTTATTGGGCTCGCTAGCTAATGCTCTGGTCAATAATGTTAGCAATAGCTACACCAGCGTCGATCTACCCGTATAACTGTATCTCTCTATCTATCTCTATACTTAATGAGCAATGTGTGCCACATTAATTGGGAAAAAAAGTCAGATTATCGATTTAGGTCCTATTTTTTATCCCTCTCTCAAATAGCCAAATAGCCAAAAAAAAAATCTAAAAGGTGAGCTATTTGAGAACTATTTGAAAATAACCCATCTAAAAAAATATCCCACCCAAGGAGTGCTAATTTAAACTATTTTGGGTGGGGCCCACTAAAAAAATGCCTTTTATCTCTATCTCTTTTCATGGGAAGGTATATTAAAAGCCAAATAGCTCTCAAAATAACCCTTTGATCCGAACAACTTAGGGCTATTTTTTTTGGATGGCTATTTTCTTGTGCTAAAAAATAGCTCTCAAAATAACTCGTGACTAGTTCTCCAAACATGATCTTAGTTGGGTCACATACATTGTATTGCCATAAATGCACGTTAATTACTTCCTTCGTCCTAGAGTACCATAATAGAAGATGCGGTATCTATAACTTAGAACGGTATCTAAAATTCATTTTTTAATTTTTTATTATATTTATACTTTGTAGCAATAAAATTATAACCATTCTTGATAAAAAAAAAAAGATCATAACCATGTGGAAATCAAATGCCAATTATGCGATGCTATTTTTTTTTATCAAATGTGTCTCCAATTATAGCAATCAGCTGAAAAATATGTCAAAAAATTATAGCAAAACCGTTAAAAAAAATGAGATTAAAAGAAGCTTAGGTATAAGTGTGACCTACTACTACCTCCGTCCAGGGTTCACAATTCCGATGAAAACCGACGAATTTGCGGAAAACCGAGGTTTTGACGTGGCTCAAAAGTAGAAGCCATTTGGAATTTCGATGGGTTTCATCCAAATTAAAATTTAAATTGATAAAAAAGGAAAAAAATCAAATCAATTCCTATAAATGATATGATATTCATAGAACCTATATGGGTATAAATTTTCCAAAAAAATTAGTGTATTCCGTGTATTCTTGAACTTTACTGTAGAAAAGAGAATAATAACAATATTTTTAAAAAAATGAATACACTTTCTTGGACCGAATTCCATGTATTAGGCCTACTTAGTACATAGCCCAGATAATGATGTATAATAGAGAGAGGATGTGGTCTTGCACCTGATTTCGCTCGGAATTTCGCCCAAGCCAACCGGTTTTCGTGAGCATATCGATAAACTCAGGGAATTTGTATTCAAATTTTGGTTTATGAAATTTGTTCGAAATCTACCGGCTTTTCACCGGATTTCGCGAAAAACGTCATACTACCAGAGCCCGGAACGGAATGTCATCTCGGAATTGTAAACCCTGCCTCTATCCCAGCAAGTCACAAACAAAATAAATAATTATTCGATAACTTTTTTTAATAAGACGAATGATCAAAGGTTACAAACAAAAACTCAAGGCGGCAAGTATTTTGGGATGGAGGTAGTAACTAATAGTTCCCATTTTTTACTATTAATCATGAAAAATATAATGGCTCTAAACCGGGTAAAACATTGTCGACGTTTTAGGTCTCGACTACGGTATTTGTATGGTATGAGAATCGTCGGTACCAAGGTATATGCGAGATTGAGGTAAAAGAGACAGAGATAAGGATTTTATATAGGTTCGGGCCCCGTATGTGATAGGTAATAGCCCTACTCCTGTTGGCCGAAGCCGGTGTTGCTCTTTATTCATCTGAATCACACAAGTACAATATGTGAGATAACCTATCTATCCACCGTCAACTTGGTGGTATGGATAACCAACATGTAGTCGACGACAGGGTAATCTTCCTCCTCGAGTATTAGCCCATCGTAATCAAAGATGGCGCTAGATCCCTCTTGTTGGCCTCCGCAGGCACCATAAGGGGTCTGTTTAGGTTTATCCCTGATGTTAATGTCTAGTGACGTGTGTTGGCTTGTGTATTGTGTGTCTATCTATTGTTGTGTACTCTCTCCCCCTATGGGGTCTTGTATTTATACCCATAGATGTCCCTTTGTCCAAGTAGAACTAGGCAGACCAATATGGATACAATCTGAGTTGTCCTTATCATTTCCATATAGAACTCTACTTATCCTTCCTTATCCGGAACTCCTTCTATATACGAGGTATGATTTCATATAGGACTTAGTATATGGTGGGCGTCGCCGTGTTTACTCAACTACTATTAGATATGCGGTATCTATAACCGTCACAAACATGATGTTTGCTAATTCAAAATTTTGGGATAATTAAATGTTTGGGAAAAGTACTACTCCACTCTAAAACTCAGACCCCAAAAGGAGAACAATAATTGGTAGTACTAATTAATTCTCGAGTTTTGAAATATAACTAAATCACGAAGCATATTAAGGTAGTTTTTCAAAAGATTATTCACCAGATTATTACTGCAGATATTACACTTGTTTGTTAGATTAACTTAAATATTTTGAGAAATAAACTTTATAAATAGCATAGAACAAGTGGCATAATAAGCATTAAGGTGGAAGAATGTTTTTTTAGAAGTCATATGTTTAGAAACATGGAGTAAATAAATCAGGACAATAGTCCGGTCAAAAAGCTGGAAACAACGAGTCCAACACAAATACAACCAGAGACTTATTAGTTGCAAATTTTATAAATATTAATTAAAAATTATAATGGAGGGCGCAGTATAGTGAACTTTTTTTCCAGAGAAAGGTATTTTTTTTACCCGGCCTCTATATCCAACCGGATATATGCAGCCATTTTAATTTAGTAACTTAGTCTATCAAATAGGGAACTTAGCCCTCAAATAACCCAATCTAAAATTCGCTCCTAGGAAGATTTGAACTCATAACCTTACGGTATAGTGATCTGTTTGGGGGAAGTTATTATCTATAGTTAGTTTTTATGGTAGAACCCGTTGGACAGGCTTGAGAGGTAGTGGTTTTATTTTGTGGAGGATATCATAACACCAAAATTTGCAAATTTGAAGTCTACGTGTAATTTTGTACTCTGTCACTGAAAAATATAAGGCATGCATGTATTTGAAAAGTTGGTAGTTTTAAATTTGAAAGTTCCTTAATATGATGTTAACTTAATAGTCATTGATTATTACAAAAGAAATTAACAACCAAAGTTTAAAGTTGGGACTATTTTACACACTAATATGTCTTATATTTCTCGTTGGAGAGTAATCATTAAATTTATAATTATTGATAAAATAAAATTGTGCCTAGCACTTCAAGAAAGTAGATACATATACAACTTTCAATATAACTTAGATAAAAAGTGGAAGAAAATAACTGTACGAATGCACAGAGTACCTACCCGCCAGGTGATGGTAGTAGTAATTCAATAGAAGTGTTTGTTTTTCCGTACGTACACCCATTTAATATATGCAAAGTTCACGACAAAGATCTGAAACATTTTACTAGTAAGATAAATCAACATATATATGACATATCAATTTACAAATATGTAAATTCAAATTCAACTTATAGAAATAGATAATAAAAATAACAAATATCAATTGCCAATAGTATGCACTTTTTATAGTTGTATTTATTATTTTGCGGAGTAATATATTATATTTTTTAGTAATATATTATATATTAATTTATGTTATTACTTTTTTAAAAAATAATGACTTTTTGGGTGGCACATATAACCGAGTGTACGCTTTGTCGGCTGAAAAAAATAAGTTTCATTCATTGGTTATTTCCATATATGAGCATGCATTGTACCACCGCGACTGGTATGAGACATGATCAACTCTGAAAACCCATTTTTTTATACATATGGAGTGCCACTAGAGTCTGGACCATGCACCGATGCACAGGACCGGAAGCGGGTAGTGGTTATCTGCCTAGGCATCGAGCATGAATTATACTCTCTCCATCTAAATATTACTTTTTGGTTTTTTCTTTCAAAAGTTTAAGATCTATTTGTAATATTTATGAGCTAAATTAAATCAAAATCCAAGAAGTTATTTTAGTACTTATTGGTTTTTATCACATGGTAAATGAGTTAATTATATTTTAGTTTTGGTGACAAAAGAATAAATAGATTTTAGACATTTGGATGGAGTAATAAATAAATGTTCTCCTCCTAACTAGACGATGAAAAGCGGTCGAGTGGAGTGGCATTGAGTTGCATGCGCAGAGAGCCAGATCAGGAGATCGAGCTAGCTACTTCCTCTATCTTATAAGGAATTTAGGTGAAATTGACACATCATAATACTACGAATATGGACATCAAGCCTCTTTCAGTGGCCCGAAAGGTCTCGAGAATAGTATGTAAAGTACTCCAATAAAATTACGGGTGCCATGCAGTGTCTCCAGCAGGTGCAAGTGCACAAGATAAAAGAGAGAAGTGAATAGGGTGGCGCACGATCTTGCTAGAATAGCAATGAGTACTAGGTCTAATGCTGAGTGGAGGCTATGTGCCCCAGCACAAATCCTAAACTTATTAAACCAAGAATGCAACCCTTTATTCCGTCATTAATAAAGCTCTCTCTTTAATGTAAAAAAAAATGTAAAGTACTCCAATGGAATGCCCAGTCCCCGATCGAAATGTAGTTATCGCGTGGTTGTGCCTGTGTCCCGCCGGCAGAGCACGAGCGACACCGGAACGAAACGAGAGGCAGCGCGTGTGAACAGTTGTTCGTACGTGCCGTCATGCGCAGGTCATACCTGGCGTGATCACTTCAACGTTACTTTGGGAGGTTTTTGCTAATTAACCATCGTTCGGCGCCCAAAAAGGTTTTTACCAAAGATAATCGAATTTTACTGAGTTATACTGCGGCTACCTAGCTACGCCTCGTTCGGAGTAGAAGTAAAACGCATGGCCCGCAGGCCATAGCCAGGTTGGGCAAATTATCTATCGCCAGGTCAAGTGCCCAGGTCATCACTCCTCAGGTGGTGCACTGGTGCTCGATGCCTCGATCCAATGCCAGTACGGGTATACTGCTCAGTGCTTGCCTGTAGTTGAGCATGCAGCCGGCCGCTCTGCCAGGCTCATTCAATTGGGTCCGGCCGGCGTGTCGGCTGACAAGTCTGCAGCACTGTACATCTGGGCCAGCTTCAATTCGGTCAAGAGTTGCTGAACTAGATCCGTCCTGCGTTTCGGCCTTTAGGCCTGTCTTGCACAGACAGAAAACCCGTCCCGATGGCACAGGATTTATTTGGTTATCTCCGACTAGATGGCACAGAACGGCAACAACGATGTCAGATTAGTTTTCGCACGACCCGTTTCACGAGTGCTGGATCTGTTGCAAGAGTGAACGCTATAAATGTGCTATTGACGTACTAGAACTAGAAGAACTGCGTAGTAGCATACTCATACCATTACCAGTGACATTCTGGGTCACCCGGAGCTACCCCACTCATCATTTCATCAACAAATCCGTAAATCTTGATACGGCACTTGCTCGATTCAAGAAATCAGGAGTTCAGCGCACAAGGCACGTAGGTTTCTATACTGTAGTCACGCACTCCCTTTTATCCAATAAAAGAAAAAGTCAGTCGGGAAGTAACTTTGTAGTCTGATACACAAAAGGTTACAAGGTCACATGAGGCAGCACGGCTCAAACTTTTCTGGAAAGCAGAGCATGTTTTGTCCATAATTTGATACAGAGCTAACAGCACAGTGCGGGCAACTAAAAGCAAAAAATGACACTATTAAATCTAATAATCGATGGGGCCTCCTCGTAGAAGAGACAATCAACAGATGCGTTGTCTGCATGACCGGGCACTCCAACCTCATGTGTAGATGTATTTCATGGCATTTCTTCAGGGTGCTTTTGCTGCAGATAACACATTCCATTCCAACTCTATGCCAAACAGCCCAACATAAACAGGTGTATATACTTACAGATGCCTGATGTCCACCATGACTCCTAGATACGTCTCAATAGCATCCCATCATATCCTGGAAGTAATGGTGAAAATGAGTTCAGTAAAACATTCCAATGGAGCAAACTAACAATCACAAAATTTTGCACTAGCAGAATATAACAAGGCCTGTAAAAAATAATGTATCGTCTTCACCAAGAAACACCCCAGTCGTTCTATAATCTGGTAAAGGACACCCTGACACGCATAAGCATGAAATGCAGTAGGAAACGAAATTATCAATTGCAAACGTGCACCGGCAATATCTAGGAACAGATCCTTGCTTGATGTCAATAATGATGAAGAACCTTAGTCTGACTGGCATACTAACAAGATGAAGGCATTGCTAGCCATGTTCAAAATGAAGGATTTTAGAATAGTCATAATGAAGGACTTCAGAATATCGAGGCACAACAGATTAGGGTTCTGATTTTAGGATATCGACCCACAACATAGTTGGCTTCTGACTTCAAGTCACCAAGCACTATCTCGCTACCCCAATGAGAACACAACCTCCTAGCACTCACAAGTAATCCCCAGTTTAGTCCTACAAGGTAACAATTCAAAAATCTTCGAATACTTGGTAAAAGTGTCCTGCTCATGATATCAAGGAAAATGAAAGTAAAATGGCATATCAGAATATCTGGAGACCACATGAACAATCCTCCATATGATAACCCTCCTATATCTTGTTACTTTTTTTTCTTTTTGGCATCAACCATGCCAAGTTGCCAACAGGGTTACAGGGCAACGTCAAGCACATGGTGTTTACTGCAAATTAATTAGGACCAGCTCAGTACATAATCCAGGCAAGCCTGCCTTAACAGAAGTAAAGCTCTGCCCTATTGTGCTGTTCTAACATAAGTATGTACTAGACTACTTTACGAAAATGTTTTCCATCCTGGTCAATCCAAATTGCCTCATCTCTTATATCACAAACTACTGAAACTACTCTGTTCATAAACCAAATAGAGTCAAAACACCAGAAAACAATTAAACTTGACAAGTTAAATATAGGGAACCGGTCAGTTGGCCTCAATGCCTGAAAACAGAATAGGAGAATTCATAATTAGCTATTTTGTTGGCACATTTCATTTGTAGAATATTAAATCCCCAATGTTGTTTCCGTTGATCAAGAATTCATGCATGTTGCAGTTACATCATCGAGGACTGGTTAGGCTATACCCATGGATCAACAAGCCACTACTCATGGTTATATCTATAAGACTTCATTGATTAAAACTAATTGGTTATAGTCATCATTGATCATGTATAATAGGACCTCACAATACTTTTCACATCAAAAACTGAATACTGGATATCTTTTTGCAAAATTTAGTGCCAACTAGAATATAGGTTTTCAAGAATTAGAGTATGATTCAAAGTAATTGGTCAGAATGAGCACAAAAAATTAATACAACATGTTGTTTGATCAGTCAAAGGAATTTAACAGAATCACTTGTATAGCTTGTAAAACAGAATTATGATCCTTTATCTCTGAAACTAATCCAGAAACCCATAAATAGAGACATAAACTTAATATAATGACAACTGACTCTCACTTCAAAATTTTCTTTAGATAAATAAAGTAGCCAACTAGTCATGCATTAGATAAAACAGAGTAGTTTCTGGAATATTGCGCATCACCTATATGTTGGTAGCAATTCTATTCCATAATCACATCAAGTGGTTTAAGTGGTAATTTACCTCCCCAAAGTGTAGAGCTCTCTGAAGCTGCCTCTCTGATGGTCAGAATGAGTTCATTTCAAGACTATATGTCCGCCGCTTGAGAAGCACCTGTGCCGCTGTTCGATATGGCTCCTCAAAGGCATCTAAAATCCAGCTAGCTCCTGTCGGGCCAGCAACCTCAATTCCTCCCCCTTCCCTTAGAACATCCTCGCTTGGTCTGATTGCTACCAGTGTAGCACCCTTAAGCAGTTGGCCCCCAGGAAGCTCAATATGCGGAGCGTACCATAGCCGCATACTAAGTGCTGGCATGAGTGTGCGGTGCGAGTTCCCAGAAGCTGACACAGGCCGCACACGCAGCTCCTGCAGCTGCCTCTTGTCCATAGTGAGGACGCCCTGCCCATCAGCATCCGTCAGGTCCAAGCTCTCGAGTGTTGAGTGATCTGCGATGATTGGCTGCAGCAAGTAATGCCGTGCCGAAGCAGCGATGAGTGAGCTGATCGTCCAGACAACACGGAGCTTAAGCCCTCCATTCGTATAGAGTGACTCTGGGATGTTCCCTAATTCATCGGGCTCTCTGCTGGAATCGGGAGAGGCAGCCGAGCTGTCTGCAGCAGTTGGGGGCGGCGCGGCCGGTGGTGGGGGTGGCTTCGACGTTACAGATGACGCGCCGAGTATGACACAGCTGCCGAGGGTGGAACCAAAGTCAGCCTTCCACTTGAGGAGCACGCCGTCCTCGATGCCGAGCTCGCCGGTGGGCAGCTCGATGTGGAGGCGGCGCAGCTCCTTGAAGGAGCGGAGGACCTCAGACGGCGAATGGTGGGAGACGTCCGCGGCGGCAGGAGCCGGTGCGGCGGGCGGGGCAGCGGAGCGACGGGAGACGGTCGCCGCGGCCGGGGAGAGGATCTGCCCGAGTGCCTGGATGGGCCTGACGATGCCGCCGAGCACCAGGCGCGCGAGATGCGCGAGCGCGCCGCGCCCCCGCGCGGCGGGAGGTCCCCCCTCCGCCGCCGCAGCGGCCTGCGCGGAGCCCGCCGACGAGGGGGGCGGGTCGTCGGATATGACGCAGTCGACGCGGACGAACACCGAGTCGACGAGGGGGACGAGCGCGTGGAACCGCCGCGAGACGAGCGCGCATCGCCCCAGCGCCTTCACGTCGCCGATGCGGCCGAACACGTCGAGGAGCACCTCGTCGGGCAGCCGCTCGAACTGGTCCCCCAACCCCTCCTCCTCCCCACCCTCGTGCCCTTCCATCCTAAACACCGGCAACAGCAGCAGCGGCGGCGGCAGCTCGCAGATCGGGATCCGGAGGCTTCGGCGCTGGGCTTGGGGGGGGGGGGGGGGGGGCGTGGCGAGTGTGTGAGCCTGAGCCAGTCGCGAGAGAGCTGGAGAGGGGAATTTTTTTGGTGGAATCGAGCGAGGGTGAGGAGGAGTTAGCCACGCACGCACACCACACGCACGGCACACCACCGGCCCACCGCACGGCACGGCGGCTGAGCGTGAGGCGAGGTGGGGGTTTGGCTTTGGCTCGTGTGGTGTGGTGTGGTGGGCGTGGGCGACGTGTCCGCCTCACCCGCTGTGGGCTCACGGCCTTTTTTCCCCCCCGGTGCGCGCGTACTACGGGAGCACGGCACACGGTGACACAGGGCACCGCGTCTCGTGGGACGATGCGAGGTTTCCACCGGGAGGAAAGATCTACTAGTGGCTACGTCACGTCGCCTTCGGCCGAAAATTCCGACGGCAACTGCTCCGTCCGTCCGACCCACCGCGACCAATTGGGGTTGGGTGTTGGATCCGTAGCCGGTGTTCCGTCGTGGGCTGTGCGCGCTTCACATCGTCGACGTCGAGCCGCGCGAGGGGAGCAAGCAACGGGTGATCTCGCTTCTGTCGCTCGCTGTGTGTGTTGTTTTGTGGTGGCGTGCAAGGAAGTACAACTCGCGGCAAACCTGATAAAGCGATGGAGACCGGACTGGACGGGGTGTGGTCGGTAGATCCCCACGGAGCCGTCTGATCTCCACACCGACGGGGCGGATGTACCTCTCTCTCTGTGAGAAAACAATTTGTCTGATGCATCTCATCCTCAGGTGCTTGGACTTTCTTCGCCTGGATTGGTGGGAGGAGGGATTCTTACTCTTAACAGCGAAGACCTGATTAAATTAATCCATGTTGTTGTCGGAAGGAACCATCAGCTTAATCATCGGAAGCGACTAGTGGCCAGCTTGCGAGCATCTCCACAGTTGACGCTGCAGCTCATCGCTCGAGTCGACCTGGCAACGTGCTGCCGATCTCTGCATCCGTGCAAAGCCGATTCATGCGAGGGAACAGCCGTCAAAAATGCTTACCGCTGCGGGGTACCGGATTAGGCATGATTTGGGCGCACGAGATGTGTAATCATGCGTAAATGTAATCGATGGAGGCTTCGGCGTCAAGCGACCTATAGTAAAATGGAGTGGATCTTCTTTCTTTTCCCTTGTTTTTTTTTCTTTTTTGGCTTCAGGGGTCAATCGTGTGCGTCAGCTCGAGTGTGATTGGAGCATGCGTCCAGAGAATGAATGAATGAGTGAATACTTGATTAGATTTGCCTTTGGCTGTGTTGTGTCATCTGTGTGACGCAACGCAATGGCGACCACGCCAGATAACTTCCCGGACTTATCACACACGTCTCTAGTACCCTACTACAGTATTTCTCAATTTTGCGAAAGAAAAAAGGTAGAATAGGTGCCAGCTTTAATTTTGCCAAACAAAAAGGTAGCACCTTCCAAGCCTCTAGCTTATTTCTCAATTTTGCCAACCAAAAAGGTAGAACAACTTCTCAATTTTGCCAAAGAAAAAGGTTGGCCAATTTCTCAATTTTGCCAATGAAAAAGGTAGAACAGGTGGTAGCTTCTTAGTTTGGCCACCGTGCTACGTGAGCAGCTATTGTGCCGGTCCTCATTTGTAATTGTACCTTGGGTTGGATCTCTCAGCCGGGAAGAACAAAATTGGCTCAGGTATTCTGCTGCTTCAGTGTGAAGTGAAGTGGCACGTCAACATGACACACACCACCTCACTGGGGTCATGTATGTAACACAGGAAAACTGCTGCTTAGGCAATTCCCAAATTTTCCAGGCTTAACATACTCAAACGTGAATTGTGAAACCCAGAGCTGTGGCAGAATTTGAACATCTAGGCCCTACATGACAACTCAAAATGCCCAAATCGACATTGCTATAAGTAAAGAGCAAGAGAGTAGAATACAGCTTGGAATTGAGGTAAGAAATTTGCGGGGAAATAGCCTAAAAAAATAAACTGATTTTCAACAATATGATGTGTACAGGAGTAGGCAAATTTCCCCATAGCTTCATATTCATTCCAAGTATCAAAGCTCAAAGTGACCGAAGTAGCGGGCTTGCTTTTTCTTTATATATTTGGATATTGTAGACACATCACCTTGAATAATTGTCTGGCCATCTTCCATATAAATAGCACCATCAGCATATCTGAGTTCTTCCAGTCGATGGGTCACCCACAATGCTGAAACCTCCCCACCAGCACCTACAGATTTCCTTACCGCCTTGATAACACCCATCTACAATTTGATGAAAGAAAGAGTAGAACGCTCATTTTAGTCACAGTGTCATTACCAGAGCGGAGTAATACATGCTACTAAAGAGTACATATTAGAAACAGAAAAATATGAATCGAGATTTCAACAAGGGGTAAAGTTGTGTTTAGCCATAGCTTTTGAGGTATGATGGCCACTCAACAAATGTGAATAAAGAAAAGAAAATTGCATTTGTAGAAGCAAAGCTACACAATTGTTTAGTTGTTTAAATAATAAATCGATCTGGGGTTTTTCAGTGATGTGGTTAATCATTGTTCTCCTCAGCATAATATTTAGTTACCTCGTGATCAATTACTACCTCTGTTTTTTAATATATGACGTTGTTGACTTTTTGACAAGCGTTTGATCATTAGTTTTATTGAAAATTTTTGTGCAAATATATAACAAATTAAGTCATTCTTAAAGAACATTTGACGATAAATCAAGTCATAATAAAATATAATTACATAATTTTTTGAATAAGATGAATGTTCAAACGTTTCTCAAAAAATCAACAACGTCGTATATTAAAAAGTGGAGGGAGTATTTGAGTACAACTGATTAGAAACAAGAACATGCATTATATTTATACCTGGTCGTATTCATCCAAGAATGTGGTCAGCTCATCCAGTAGTAGTACTTTGGATGCTTCAGCTAAAGCACCGGCAATTGCAACTCTCTGCTTCTGCCCGCCACTCAGAGTTTGGATTGGCCTCTGTGTTGGATGAAGGATGTTTGTGAACCTTGTGCAGACAATAGATTATAATCCAAAAGGAGCATGTCAGCTGCCTACTTGAGAGTAGCTTAACATTCCCACAGCATCCAGTGATTGTGATACTCTTGACCTAACCTCATCCAACGAAAGGTTGAGCTTACCAAGACCAAATGCAACATCTGATTCCACTGTCGGCATCACAACCTGCATTCAAAGAACGTAACTTAATATGTACCAGAAAGCTTGATCTAATTTGACATGAATGTGTCATTAAGCAATCTTCCTCCAATGCATCAAGAGTCAAAAAAATAACATTCTATAGTTGCTAGTAATATGATGCAAATACAGTCTAGCAATATCTTAATGAACATTTATATGTTCAAATTTAGTTCAGGGGAAACTCAGCAAACAGCACAACTGTATAGTTTTCAAAGGAACTAAAATATCAACACCTTATGTATCCAATTAGCTATAAAATTCTTAGTCCAAAGAGTTTACTAAGTTCTGAGTTAGGAATTACTTTCACACCCAAGTTTGTGAATGAAGATTAATGAGGAACACAGAACTAGATTCATTAAGACAATCATGTAGCACAAAATTTCTTGCTTGGTGAAACTAAATCTATTATGGGCAACAGTTAAGAGTGAACTCATCAGATTACAGTACAATTTACGAATTAGTATGTCTATGTATGTCGTTTCTTTTCAAAGACTTATATAATGTTGTCGAACTTAGTAGGATAGTTAACTAAGCTCTCAAATACTCCCTCCATCCCAATATAAGTGCAACCTAGTACAGATGTGACATATCCTAGTACAAATGTCTGTCCAGATTTGTAGTCGTGGGATATATCACATTTGTACTAGGTTACACTTATATTGGGATGGAGGGAGTATGAGTATTACCTTAAAATACATAAAGCTGGATGAGTTATATTGGTCGGTGAAGTAAAGCCTAAATATTGCAGAAGTACTTATAAAGAAAAACTGGACCTTGGTACTTTAACCGATGAATAGTTATTCAACAGGGTTACTAAGACTATGGCCAACATGCTTATACAGTCCAAAACGAATATGCAAGCAAGGAACATTGGAACCGAGACACTTCAATTTGCTGCAGAGTATCAATAAATACCAGATAGAAAAGAACAAAGATTTTCATGAATTCCATTTTCTAACTAGCATAATACACGTTATGTGAATGCAATTTTAACATTGTTGTATTCCATTTGAGAACGGAGTGAAATTTCAGATAAACACTAAAGCAGAATATAAGTGACAACCTGGTGATCGGGATTTTGGAAGACATAGCTGCATGGCCTGTTAATATACACTGTACCAGAAGAAGGATTTAAAAATCCTGCCAAAACCTAGAGAAAACATTCGGTTAACATCCCATTAAGGAGCTGTACTAAGAAATTCAGACCAATTTTGATAGTCCGGTAGCCTAATTAGGCAAGTAAATATTGTACAGCATTATAATAAAATTTATAGAACTTCTCCTCTGTCTTTTTTACTTTCTCATCCAGTCATCCTATATCATTCTATTCTGGGTGAGCATATCACAAAAAGTTGCTAATCTGATTGTGCCATCTGGTCCATTCATCCAAATAGTCAAATGTGCTTGATGCTCCACTCCTGAGATTCTATACAATGCTCACTCACTGGTTAGCCCAAGATACATACTAGTGGTTCTCGAATTAAAACATCCATCGGCTCCTGACGGTATACGAAAATTTCCTGGAGCAAGATATCAAAGAATGTGGTCCATGGGCACAATCTAATACTACAACTAAACTTTTGCCTACTCCATGAGCAAAAACGCTCAGGGCACGAACAAAATACACATGAAAAGCACAAGGACGACGCCCTCTTCAGTTCAGGGGGGTAAAGAAGATGAAGAACCTTGAGAAGGGTGGACTTGCCGCAGCCGTTGGGGCCGAGGAGCATCCAGAGCTGACCCGGAGGGACGCGGAGGGAGCAGTCCTTGAGCACCGGCAGCACCCGCCCCCGCCGAGTCGTCACCGACAACTCGACGCCCTGGCCCTCGATGGCCGGCGTGGGTAGGGACGACGCGAGGACACGGAGGCGGTGGCGAGGGCGGGATACGAGGGCGGCTCGGCCGGGGTCGTGGGGGCAGCGGCAGATGGCGGAGGTGCCGCCGGCGAAGGCGTGCGCCATCTCTGCGAGAGAAGTGAGAGCGGTAGATGGAGGCTTGTGGCCTTGGGGGCCCGGTTCTCCAGAAGACCAGAAGGCTATAAGGCCAGATGCCCACAAGTCCATTGGTTGATGGGCCGATTTGGGGCTTTGGGGGCAGAGAGTGCGGATACCATCCTGTGCTCCTACTGTAGTTCGTGGAAACGGATTCTCTAACTTTGTTTAGGGCCTGTTTGGTACAGCTCCAGCTCCACCCCTCCTGGAGTTGGAGCTCAGCCAAACAGTTTCAGCTTCACCAAAACTGGGAGTGGAGTTGGGTGGAGTTCTCTCACAAAATATACTAGAGTTGTGGAGCTGGGTTTAGGCAGCTCCACAACTCCACTCCAGACTCAACTCCTGGAGCAATATTTAGGAGTTAGAGCTGTACCAAACAGGCCCTTAGTTTACAGTTGTGCCACTTATATGTGGGCTCCACTTTGTTATGATCCACATCTCAGTAGTACAACTACAAACTGTACAAAGTTAGAGGAGTCTTTTCTCTAGTTTGTGTATTTGCGGTTCCTCTTACAAGAAAAACACAGCCACAGAGACCATGTGGTACATTTTCCATTCACAAAAAAGAAAGAGAATAAACCATAAAAAAAGAACGGGCTTTTTATTACCTGAAACAAATATGTGAAAGATTTCCAATCATGTAATCTCTCCGTCTCAAAATATAACAACTTTTAGCTCTTATGATTTGATGTGACCATGGCTACTACGGATACATCCGTTGCTCACCTCATGGATGGACAACAAGATATCAAGTTCGAGTCCTCCAAGTCTCAAAATCCAATTCGGCCACCTACTACCCTGCTGACTTCAAACGGCCGCCGAAGCTCCATACGACCTCCGTTTTCGGCCCGTGAGTACTTGATGGAAAGCTCTCGGAGTCCTCTTTCCAATGCATCAAGCCTCATTGCCAAATTCCATCTCAGTCGGCAGCAACTGAAGAAACAAGGTGCTGCGACACCTGTAATGGGACTATGGGCTTGTAACTTCATTTGGGACCCCGGCCCAGGTGGGGCCCATGTGGGGTGCGCCCCAAGCTGGTGGAGCACGACCCTAGGCACCCCTAGGTCATCCTCCCACCCCTATATATAGCTAGTTACCCCTTCAGGGTTTCTGGGGTTTTGTTAGAATAAAGTTTAGCCATTGCTACTTGCTTGCAGCGCGCGTGTCGGCTAGACCGTCCGTCTGCTTGTTCTTCGGAACCCCAACTTATCATTTGTATTGAATTCCTATTTGCAATATCAGATTGCTTTTATCTTGTTCTTGCTTGTTTCTTCGATTTGCTTGCAGGAATAGGGTTGATCTGCACCGGCAAGATCAACAACCCACGGAGAGGTGTATCGATCGCTAAGGCGCAACACAACGTCTCGTACGGTTGTAGTCGGATCGTCAACGTTTCTCCCAAATCGTAGTTATCACAACTCACCGAAAGATCGGGCCAACAACAGCCTTGAGTGTCGAGAGGAACTCAGGGTTCATCAGGTGGTATCAGAGCTTTCGTTGCTCGGTGAATTTTTATCTTCCTAACCAGAAAATAGCCATACAAAAAAATCGTATCATTTACCTAGCCATATTGTGCCATTGCATTGTTCTTTTCAGTTTTTGCTTTGTTGAATTTTGTGTTGCATTGTCACATCGTGTTGCTGGTCTTAGCGTCTAGTTTGTTTAGAGTTTCAAGTTCTGGTCACGTTTTGTACCACAATCGTCGCTGCCACCGTGTCTCTGTTGTTGTCGGGACCTACGAAAACGGAATCGGCCCGCTGCCACGGTTTTGTTTTTGTAGTTTTCAGAATTTTTTATCGGTCAGTTTTGGAGTTGCCTTTAGGATTTGCTTGAGTTTCTGGTTTGCCCGTGAATAGATCGGCCTGCGCTTGTTGCCGGTGTAGAGAGGAGGAAGAAGAATTTCCAAATCTGTTTTTGGAAGTATGAGAGTTTAATCTGGAAAGAAATAGTAGATCAGATTGATTGAAATCAGTTTCCCTTTTTCTCTCACCATAACCGGACTCCTAGGTAGTGCCGCATCCTTCCTTTCCTCACCCACCACCACCCCGGGTCCGCGACCAGGCCGAGTCCGAGTGTCTCCTCTCGGTCACGGTTTCAATCTATACCGTGATCTTGCATACTGCTTGGTGAAAATTTTTCGAGTATCGGATTGAAAATCCTTTTGCAAAAACGGAACCTACAGGACGAGAGGATTCCATTATTGTATAGTTCTAATTTTGGGTTTTAACTTTTACATTTGAGTCCCTATAAATTTTGTATTTATGTTTGAGTCCCTGTAATCTTACATTGAGGTCCTTGAATCTGTTTTTGTAAAATAAAATCAAAAAAAAAGAAAGAAAAAAAAAAGGCAGAAAGGTGCATAAAAAAAGAAGAAAAGAAAAGCCGCACCCAAAAAAAAAAGAAAAGGAAACAAAAAAAAAGAAAGAAGAAAGAAAGAAAAGAGAAAATATTGTTATGTTTGAGCTGAACTTCATATATCAGAGTTGTGCATGAGTTGTTCCTAGTGCTATCTTGTGGTATCATTTGTGTCTAGGCTCGCGTCTCTAGTACGTTCTAGCCTAGGACCAGCACGGTGCTTGACTTTGAACAATTATTCAATTTTGCATTCTCTGATTTGAGCATTTGCTATTCCTTTGCTACATATTTAAGCCTACCCAGAGCTCCACAGATTTGATTGCAGCCGTACAACAAGTGTTCGCCAAGGCATCGATACATCCAACCTCCATTGGGGTGCTTGGTTGAGTCGGTGTATGTCACCATTCCGCTTGCATTGGTAAGATCTTGTAAGAGCTTGGTTAAAAGCTTGAGTGTGTGTGATTTTTGAGCTGCCACTACCTAGTAGTTAATAGGAACGCGCATATTTTTGTGTATGTTTCTTGTTTTCTACTAACAATGGCAGGGATACGCAAGATAATTGGGGATAGCTGTGCTCACCATCGACATCTTCGTCGAGACATGAGGAGTGATCAACATGACCTTTATGAGGTAAGTGACGATGTTCTAGGTAAGATCAAATCTGCACTGCCTTATTTCGAGGGAAACTATAATCCTCATGCTTACATTAATTGGGAGCTAGCGGTTGATAGTGAATTTCAAAAGCATGTCTTGTCTGAGAAACAAAAGGTTATGTGTGCCTCTAGTGTTTTAGTTAAACATGCTTCTAATGATTGGAAACATCTTTGTAGGCATAACAAAATACCACAATCTTGGAAAGACCTGAAATGATATTTTAGAGATGTTTATGTTCCCATGTATTATGCTGATATTCTGCTCAACAAACTGCAATGTTTAAAACAAGATACCAAAAGTGTTACTTCATATTATCATGATATGCATGCTTGTTTATTACGTTGTGGCTTAGATGAATGTGAAGAAGCTACAGAATTGAGGTTTTTATGTGGACTTAACAAAGAAATTCAGGACATGCTTGCTTGTGAAAAGTATAGATCTCTTTCTCATTTGTTACAATTTGCTTGCAATGCTGAAAGTAAAATAGAGGAGGATATGAAAAAGAAACACGCTATGTCTTTGCCTCCAATTACTAACTATTTGTAGGAAGTGCGTAATCACGAAAAGGAGGAGAGAGACATGAAAGAGCCACCAATTCCATTGTTCACACTCAAGTTTGAGACACCTCCATCATCTAAAGAGGACATCCAAGGTAAAGTAAATGGTACTGAAATTAATCAAGGTGAGTGCATTATTAACGAAGTAAATTTGTTCACTTTTCATGCAAAAGTAGAGCAACCGTTAGTGGAACCAAATGCTGGAATTCCTTTGTCACAAGTTGATTTACTCGCTGTTCCTTGTGATAAAGAAGAGTTGTGTGATAATGCTTCACTTATATCCATGCCACAACTAGTGAATGAGCATGCTATTCCTAGTGTTTCTTTGTGTGCTGATTTTAAGCATGCTGTTCACATTGCTAATGAAGTTGAGGAACGTAAATTGCTATCTTCTTTAAATACTTTGGGCTATGTTCAGTTTGATGATTTTTGTGAGCTCGATAATTTGAAGGAGAAATTATTTGCTAAGTCTGATTTGCCACGTCCAACTAATGCTATTTTTCATATCTTTGGCAAATATAATGATAGAGGAATATATTTGGTGCATAGAGTTTTCATTTGTTCGGATTTAGAGAAACATGTTATTGCTAATCACACTACTTCGAGTTTCTCTAGTTTTGATTGGATGAAACAGGTTATTTTGAATGGACTATGTGAAGAACACCATATGGAAAAACCGAGGACGGTTTTCCGTGAAGAAGGGGAGGATGATGTGACCATGACTACTACGGATACATCCGTTGCTCACCTCATGGATGGACAACAAGATATCAAGTTCGAGTCCTCCAAGTGCCAAAATCCAATTCGGCCACCTGCTACACTGCTAACTTCAAACGGCCGCCGAAACTCCATACGACCTCCGTTTTCGGCCCGTGAGTACTTGATGGAAAGCTCTCGGAGTCCTCTTTCCAATGCATCAAGCCTCATTGCCAAATTCCATCTCAGTCGGCAGCAACTGAAGAAACAAGGTGCTGCGACACCTGTAATGGGACTATGGGCTTGTAACTTCATTTGGGACCCCGGCCCAGGTGGGGCCCATGTGGGGTGCACCCCAAGCTAGTGGAGCACGACCCTAGGCACTCCTAGGTCGTCCTCCCACCCCTATATATAGCTAGTTACCCCTTCAGGGTTTCTAGGGTTTTGTTAGATTAAAGTTTAGCCATTGCTACTTGCTTGCAGCGCGCGTGTCGGCTAGACCGTCCGTCTGCTTGTTCTTCGGAACCCCAACTTATCATTTGTATTGAATTCCTATTTGCAATATCAGATTACTTTTATCTTGTTCTTGCTTGTTTCTTCGATTTGCTTGCAGGAATAGGGTTGATCTGCACCGGCAAGATCAACAACCCACGGAGAGGTGTATCGATCGCTAAGGCGCAACACAACGTCTCGTACGGTTGTAGTCGGATCGTCAACGTTTCTCCCAAATCGTAGTTATCACAACTCACCGAAAGATCGGGCCAACAACAGTCTTGAGTGTCGAGAGGAACTCAGGGTTCATCATGATTTGTCCTAAAATATAACAACTTCTCTACCAACATTCTCTTTCCAACCAATCACAACCCTTAACCGTTCACTTTTCACACATATCTTCACTACTCATCCAATCATAACTTTCCACCATTCACCTCTACCTACTTTCTTAATAACCGTACCCAACTCTATAACTTCTTATATTCTGGAACGGAGGGAGTATAAGAAGAATGTAAGATGTTACTCTCTCGATTCTAAAATATAGTAACGTAGAACAATGGTTTTATTCATAATACTATTATATATCTAATCTAATCTTAAATTACTATATATTTGGGACTGAGGGGGTATTACATTTTTATGGCTCTTATATCACCTAGTAAAACTAAAATGAGCGGATAACAATAAGGTAAGTATAGTTTAACTGATTAGGTTTTTTTTTTTTAAATCTGTTTACCCTAGTTCAAGTTTTAAACTTGATATGAGTGTTCATATATATTTATGTCTAATTAAATTATCCTGTTTCGGAGGTGATTAACTAGAACCCGTGTAGAGCACATTATTTTTCCTATAAAAAGGGAACAGAATAGTATCAGGTACATTTTTGCTAGAGCGATGTTCAAAATTTCCAACGTTTATGTTGAAAGTGCACGTTCGTCGAAAGTGCGAAATTGTCATTTGCAAACCGCAAAATTCTTCGACACGGTGCAAAGAAGTCCATATGGCTTACATAAGATTATGTGACGACGCCGTTTTGCAAGTATAGATCATATCGCACGCTTGCTTAAGTCAATGTACATCCTTCCATTTTGATGAAGAGAGACGATGCATTAACAGTTCCAAATATAGTTCAGTTAGTTATCCCCTCAGCTGAGAAGCAAAGGTCAACTCTTTCCTAATTAAAAGATCTTCTCTCGATCGGTTCTCGCCATTCATCCCAGATCGGAGATTCCGTGGCTATCATCCCACTGTACCACTGGCTGCTTATTAATCGGCAAGAGAGGCTCGCAGCGGCTCAATGCACCTGGTCCACCCAGCCTAGCCACAACCGGTCCAATCCAAACTCTCTAAACACAGGAGTAGCGGCGTGTACATGCGCCAACTGCCCACGCGGCCGCTGTCAAGTTGTTGGCCGCCAACTCTTCGCCTCGCTCCCGTGTGTAGTACGGTAAACGGTGTACTACCACTTGCCCTGACGTACGTACTACACGCGCCCCGGTGAGCCGGTCCAATATATACACGTCGTACTCCCGAGAGGCCGAGACGCGCCGGCAGAGAGCAAGCAGATCAATTGCCAAATATCTCGCTATCAGCTATGGACATGGGAGGGCACGACATGGGCGGCATGTCCCCGCCGGCGGCCGGGGCGGCGGCGCAGGGCGGCATGGGCGCCATGAAGTCGATGAGGTACACGCACATGACCTTCTTCTGGGGCAAGAACTCGGAGGTGCTCTTCACCATGTGGCCCGGCACGAGGGGGGGCATGTACGCGCTGGCGCTCATCTTCGTCTTCGCGCTGGCCGTCATCGTCGAGTTCCTCGGCAGCCGCAGGGCGGACGCCTGCCTCGCCGCACTGGCGCGGCGCGCCCCGGCGGCGGGCGGGCTCGCGCGCGCGGCCGTGCACACGGTGCGCGTCGGCGTGGCGTACCTGCTCATGCTCGCGCTCATGTCGTTCAACGGCGGGGTGTTCCTCGTGGCCGTTGCCGGCCACGCCGCGGGGTTCCTGGCGTTCCGCGCCGGCCTGTGCGGCGGCCCCGCGCAGGTGGAGGAGGACCGCAAGAACGACCCGGCCTGCTGCTAGTAGCCGCCTCGTCGACGTTGGTGTGTACTGTGAGCGATCGATTCGGTTCGGTGGACGTTGGTTTGATGCTTGCATGTGTTTGTGTAATTGTGTATATTGTTCGCGGTCGGTTGGATGAGTTGTTTGGCTGGTTTTCTTTCGTCTGTATCATTGTATGGCTCAAAAACGTGACATGAAAAAGGCTCCTGATGGTCCATCTCTCAAGTTGAAATCTGAAAAGTTCCGGTGCCGTGAAACTGTAATCGTGCAATCCGCTATCTATCACTTGTTTCATTGATGATTCACCCTGGCTGTAATTTCAATTCTAATAAATTGATTATGGTGCGCTTATGTAAATGTCCTTGTCTTTAAAAAGAAATGTAAATGTCCTTCAAACAATTCTTGTTTTGTTTTGCATCTGTATGTGCTAGTTGGCACAAAACTGTTCTGCATTGGTTTGTTTCTACCTTCCTCTTTTGTGTTGCTGACCCAAAATTGCTCCTCTGCATGCACCGGAGTTCATGTTGCTGAATTTCTCATGCCACTGTATTGTCCATTTTTTGCTGGTAAAAAGCACTGAACTACTGACTGGATTGGCAATTCCATGAATGATGATTAGCTCTACCGAAACAGTATGCTACCCTGAAAGTACTGTCTTACTGCCTCTATAAGTTTGCTTTGCTCCATCGATTTGACGCTCTATGGGTTATCCTTCACGTTCTCCCATCTTCTTTCCTGCTGCACCATGGGCCACCGCCAGTGGTAAATTCTCTGAGACGCAAAACAGAGCGCATATGCAGCAAACATTTCAAAAGGTTACCGGTAGATAGATTGGTACTCCATCCAAAAGACAGCACCCTTAGTGCTTTAAGTCTTTTTGTTTGCTCCGCTCGCGTCACCACTTTTAGTAGTACAAGAACACACTTTACTTCCTATGTAGTACTACCATCTCCTTTTTCTCCTTTTGAAGATCTTCATGTTTCTATGGCTGCTGTTGAAAAGCACAGGTGTTCTTCCACATGTGGAAGAACAAAAATCTCTCAAAGTTGAGCTGCTAAAAAAAAATTAAATCAAAATATATCAAACCGGAGTCTGTACAATACTATTACATACTCGAGTCCAGTTGATTCTTAAGCTGCGTCAGAGATTGGCTGTCAACCTGCTGCTGTTTAATTTGTTACATTATCCACCGCTATATTTTAGAGATAATGCACTGCTAAACAACCCAAATAATGGTTTTTTATGCACCCAACTGAACAAAAGTTAATCAATTTCACCACATAATTGTACTACTAAATCGGGCTGAACACTTCGCGGAGGGGCAATTATAATTGGTCAGTTGTGTGTGGTTCAGACTTAAAATCTGGCCACTTGTAAATTCTACAATTTCGTCTTGACAGTGGAAGCCTCCGAAGGAAACCTTTTTCCGCCCATGCCGTACGATGGATTTTCCTCGTTGACATTCTGCGCCCAACGCACAGCATGGCATGTCGTTCTCCATAAACGTACACACAAAAAAAAGCACCAAATTGGCTTCAAGATAAGGTCGTGGAAGCGTGCTACGGGGGATGATTTGTCTGGTGGAATCTAAGGCCTCCATAAATGATCTGTTACCAGAATACCTGCCGTACATAGGATGATTAGAGCAGGTACAATAGTAGCCTATAAGTCAGCTATAAACATATTTTAAAGTGATAAAGAAAAAGAGAGAAGAGCAGCGGGCTACATATCTGTAGCCAGCTGCAGCACGGGCTCCAAGATGTAATGCGTGTATAACAGGTGGGACCAAGTATTAATAGTATAGTAAGCAACTATTGTATGAATTAGCTATTATATTGGCTATAGATGATTTAGAGCTATTAGTGGGCTGCTATATTGACCTTGCTCTTATTCCTTCATTCAATTGATCCATCCATAAGACCATGATTATTATCCATCTCAAGAGGGAAAATGGCCAGTAAGCTGTAAGCCCAATCAAGTCCAAGCCCGATCATCTGTTGGGCCTAATTTGATCTCACTTTTTTTTTTCATCTCTAATGGTCCTGTGACAATAGCCAGATTCTGCAACTCATGAAAACCTCGAATTGCGAGGTCCTCGATTTGCGCACCTGTTCAGTTATACTAATCCATACTTATAAAGGAAATCATTTAGGACAATGTTTAAGTCAAACCTTAGAAATATAAATCATGAATAACTCTCAAATTGTTGAGTTTGAAAATATAAAAATTATATATATAGATTTATCTTGAAAAATACTTTCATAAAAGTTTACATATAGCACTTTTCAATAAATATTTTTATAGAAATAAGAAGTCAAAGTTGTATTTTGTAGACCGTGTCACTGTCCTAAACGACTTCCATTACGAACATAGAGAGAGTACTACGTACCAGTACGTACCTGTACTACACGCTCGCCGCCGCATATATCTATACTTGCACGGCGTGTGGATGACGGATCAAACCAAACACACCCGTGCACGCGGAGATCAGGAGCATCTGCAATGGCGGACATGGGAAGGCACGGCATGGCCATGGCCATGGCGCCTGCGGCGGCTGGCGGCGCGGGCAGGAGGAAGCGGTACATGCACATGACGTTTTACTGGGGCAAGAACTCGGAGATCCTCTTCACCGGGTGGCCGGGCGCCAGCGGCGGCATGTACGCGCTGGCGCTCGCCGCCGTCTTCGCTCTGGCCGTGCTCCTCGAGTTCCTCGGCTCCCCCCGCGTGCAGGAGTCCTCCTCCCTCGGCAGCAGGCGGCGGCGCGCGACGGCGGCGGCGGTGCACGCGGTGCGCGTCGGGCTGGCGTACCTGCTCATGCTCGCGCTCATGTCGTTCAACGTCGGCGTGCTCCTCGCGGCCGTCGCCGGGCACGCGGCGGGGTTCTTGGCGTTCAGGGCGGGCCTGTGCGGCGGCGGGTACAAGAAGGGAGAGCTCGCGCCTGCGGCGTGCTGCTAGATGTGGTTGCCATGGCGCAAGACAAAAGCGAATATATTTGTTTTCGAAAATTTAGATAAGGATTTTGAGTGCGGATCTGCTCTTGAATCTACGCTAAAATCTATATTTGTTATCCTCACAATGGAAAAGAAAATTCAATGTTAGGGTAGGGATGTACTCGATCACGTCGATCGTGAACTGATAGCCCCCGTTGTTGGATTCGGTGTTTGCATGTGTACCTTCGATCCTATTTGAAGAATCCATAACCCTAACTGTTAAACCCCCAAGCAGTGCTTCTTTCATATTTCCCATTATCTGCAGAATTAAACCACAGTGGTAGCCCAAGAGGCCGAGAGGCCCGAGAAGGCAAATAAGTGGAGGCCCGTAATAAGTCGAATTTCTGATATGTTGTCCCGACGAACTCATGACGACATGAAAGCTAACTACTGGAGTAATTAGTTGCATTGCTGCAAGGTACTTTGGTTAGCCAGGCCCACAATCTGAGTCACATGTCACCTTCTTTTAGCTCTTTATTAATACTTTTCATGCATTTGTGTTTGTACTTTTCTTTATAATGAAATATATACCGGTCTTAGTTTCAAAGAAACTATAGCTAATTGTTAATTTGTTATAGAATTTGTAAGACGAATGACTTCGCTTGATAAAATCGTAGCTTAACTAAAAAAATTACTTATTAGAATACCACCTTAAAGACATAGGTTATCTCTATTTATAGATGGTAAGATCTGCATAACCATTGTTTTCCCAAACGGTTTACTCAAACCAGGAACATAATCTATGAAATCAATGATCGATTATTGTGTCGACTGAATACCTCTAAGAAGGTCACAACAACTACGATATTGCTATCGCCATTCTAAGCATCTAAAACTATATTTTTTTACTCGGACAGTTCACCCCAAGGCATTAAGGTAACGGAGAGGATGTTAGCAACATTGCCCATAGACATTGTCAATGTTGGTGCTCCCAATATTGACGGCCTTGGTCCCATATCTACGACGATCTGAACTCAACCTCCTCCCCTACGTTTAGTGGCATCATCAACTTTCCTAAGCACAATGACGGCGATGATGGTCGAACCTGAATTGGAGGGGCTAGTGATGACGTGCATGGGCAAATGTTGTCCAGATCCATATGGTGCCAGTGGCAAAGGAGACCTGCAGTGGTAGAGATGATCACCTAGATGATGTTGGAAGCCTGACAGGCAACTCAGGCGCAAAGGAGTCGCAACCTCCCCCATCTCCTCCCTGCCTTCAACGCGCTAGACAAAAAGGGGTCGTGTTGCCTTCGGATCATCGATGGCCTTATATATGTACATGTATTTGTATGAATTAGAACTTAAATTTTTTAAAACCGGTTTACAATTATCATTATGTTGAATGTTGATCCCTTTGTATTTTATATGTTTTAAACTTTTCGGTTTTCTCATAATTTTGGTTCGTCATGATAGGAACATGGCTTTTATATTTATTTTAAGCTGGTACCAAGCATATGCAAAACCGTTTGGGTCACCTAATACCAATCTCCAACGGTTTCGTTGATAAATGTTCATTTGGTACTGCCCAAAACCGGTATAATTCAGATAAGATTTTACTGAAAATTTGGATTTTGGTTTGATGACATTTAAACTTGGTTTGTTTATCGAGCGGTTCTTGAATCTCGATTTAAGTCGAGTACTCGCGATAACTGAGTAATTACAGCCTCAAGGCTCACAGGCTCACAGTCCTCACCGTACTAGCACTAGTAGATATAAGTTTCTCATATATCTATTATCTATCTATCTATCTATCTATTTCTATCTATCTATCTATTATATACTAAAAGTCCATTAAACTTCCTACAAATACTCTCAAGCTGCCACGTGGCACTACTATAAACGATCCTAGACCGCCATGTGGCAATGTCTAATCTCGCCGTCGATTCCATTAGATTAGATTAGATGTATTTTATTTAAAAAGAAACTAATACCTTACTGTTGGCAGGGAAAAAAACATAAATACTCCATAAGTACGTACGTACTATATAGAAAACAATAAAACTTAACTTCTCTTCATCGGTTCGCTTGGAAAAGAGCGGCTTACTTACGAATCTACGATTTGTGAGGGAGGAAAAAAAACGTACCAGCGTATTTACGATAAAATAAATAAAGCCAAAAACCACGTGACACTGCTACAAACGTTCCTAGACCGCCATGTGGCAATATCTAATCTCGCCGTCGATTTTCACTTAAATTGGTGGACCCGATAATTTAGACCATTAGATTAGATTAGATGTATTTTATTTAAAAAGAAACTAATAGCTTACTGTTGGCAGGGAAAAAACATAAATACTCCATGAGTACGTACGTACTATGTAGAAAACAATAAAGCTTAACTTCTCTTCATCGGTTCGCTTGGAAAAGAGCGGCTTACTTACGAATCTACGATTCGTGAGGGAGGAAAAAAACGTACCAGCGTATTTACGATAAAAAAAATAAAGCCAAAAAATATACGTATATAGTACCATCGAAAAAATCAAAAATAGAATTTTCTACATATAAAAATAAAATATATTATTCCACAAATATGCATCAACTAGACCCGTCATAAAAAATATAAAATATCAAATCTAACCGTCGATTTTCACTTAAATTGGTGGCTCCTATACCGTCACATGCCACTCTAATAAATTTATAATTCTAAAATAAATTTAACAATCAGTTTTCTTTTAATCTGGTGGACCCATTATTTTTTACCATTTAATTTATAATAAAAATAGCCAAGCCAATTTATCTCAAAAGGCCCACATAACCCACATAGGTGCATGTAAGTACGTACGTACTTCATGCATGGTCCCACGTCCATCTTATCTCTTTTCTTTTCTTTTTCGCTCACAACAATAAAAACCAAATTAATTATTCCAACTCATAGATATTAACTCCAGCCTATATATATGCAAAAATATATGTACGTACCAGTAATATATTATATTTTTTATATATTATAGATATTATTTAGTACGTTGGGCCACACATCCCTTTTTTTCTTTTTTCTTTTAGACTCACATGACATAAAACCCAAATTAATATTAGTAATTATATATAAAAGTCTAATAGACTTTCTACAAACGCTCCTAAACTGTCATGGGGCATCTTCAAATGCTCCTAAGCCATCACGTGGCACTCTAATAAATTAAAAAAAAATATAAATCCTGAGAAAAGAACATCTAACATCCACTTTCACTTAAATTGATAGGCTAATTATTTTAACCATCAGATTTAATCTCATATAAACAAAGAGATGGAAAGAAAGACCACGTACCTTCCCCACCTCTCTCCTCAGTCGTTACGTTCGCCCTCTCCCCACGTATGCCCCTCTCTCTCTCCCTCCCCTCTATGTATAATTCATTTTTCCTGTATTAGCTAACGGGGGGAATTTGATTAAAAATTTTTTAACATTCGTAACACCTAAATCATATACCTAAAAAATAAACATCTAACCTTAAATTTTTTTTATTAAAATTAGTGGACATAACACTTCAAGCCATTAGATTAGATTTAATTTTTCTCATCCTTAAAAAAAAGACGTCCATCCTCCCCTCCGTTTTCTTTTAGGAAATCCTCTACGTTTTTTTCCTTCCATTCTCTCTCTATGAAAGATTTTGCAACAATAAATTTTAAATAAGTATACTTCTAAATACATATTATTTGCAACAGTAAATTTTAAATAATACTAACTTTTTAACTTTAAAATTATACGTTCAATTTTTGATCTATTTGTACCATTGTGTTATTTATGATTAAAATCACAATTAGAATTTAAGACACATGTTGACTATATTTTAACTTGTAAAATTATATTCATTTAAGTTTTGTTGAGACCCTTTACATGTTATTCAAACATATATGAACAATTATTAAAAGAAAGTGACATTATATATTATTTCATCATATATCACTTCACTGGCATGCATAACTAAAACAGATTTATGAACTTCAAAAAGTTCTAAAAATTCTGAATTATGAGAAAAACAAAATATAGATTATACCATAATTTGATGCATCACAAAACATGCATAACTAAATAAGATTTACTTAAAAAATAATCAGTCAGATCCTAGCTGTTTGTCCACCTATATACATTCCGAGCTTAAGATAGAAATGACCTATTATGTACCAAATTCTACTTGATAAGGAAATAGAAATTATATGGAAGTAAACATAAAGCTAAATTTTCTTTCTGTATAACATGATAATATAACGGTAATGTTCAACTTCGGAACAAGCAAGCAAAAGCTGCATGTGTATTTGTCCTGTGTATCTATATATTATATATGAAAAATCCATTAAACTTCCTAGAAAACTCTCAAGCCACCACGTGAGACTCCTACCAATGCTCCTAAGCTGCCACGTGGCACTATAATAAATTAGATAAAACCTTACAAATTTTGAGAAAAAAGAAAAAAAAATCCAACCCTCGATTTTCATTTAATTCGGCAGACCCACTATTTTTAAATCATTAGATTAGATTTATTTAAAATGCATCTCATTCTCACATGTACAATACGTACTACTATCCACCGGATTGAGAAAAAAAATCTCCCGAGCATGTACATACTACGCATCGTCCACCCGTCCCTAATAAACTTATCAATAACTAATAAACTTATCAATAATGTTGGATTATTTCTTGAGAAACAAAGTGCGCTCACAACGCACGCACACTCACCCCTACGAACGCACACATGCACACTCTACCCCCTATGAGTACCTCTGAGAGATTGTGCCGACATATTTTGAGATGACAAAGTCACCATGATTGTCTCGCTGTCGATGGGTACGTTGTCTACCACTGAAAGAATTTATCAAGTCTGGGATTTGAAGACAAGTGGGCAATTTCCACCACAAGGAACCTAACCAGTTAAGCTATGTTCAATTCAAAATAATGTTGGATATTAAAACAACCATGATTTTTAAGCTACACTTTTAGAATACTCCTATGCCTTTTAAACCAGTGAAACTATTATTTTTAATCATTAGATCTATCTTATATAAGAAAAACAAGCGTGTATTCATGGTACATCACATTTCAAAAATATTATTGTGCAATTGTATTCACGTTAGATTGCGTAGAACCTCTTACCCACTCTACATGAAATGTTTATAGATGGATTGTCTCTCAAACTATATCAATTATATTAGGCTATATAAAATTTAGTGGAGCTTTATGTCCCACCAAATTCATCCTCTAATAAACCAGGATAATATATGTGCAATAAAAAAAATAAAAACACACTTCTTTTGCTTTACACTTACTTTTACTTTCGTTGAAATATTTTCAAAAGAAAATAAGTCTACCTTCTTTTCAAATGATGAAGAAGATTATAAATAACTAATATTACTTAAATATGATATAATATAAAACTAATAGGTTAAAAATTATAAAAGTAACTAATGCTAACAAAAACAATTTACGGAGAAATTGGGGTAGATGTTCTCCGGTTAATATATCGCTTTTAGTGTCTCAAACTTAGCGTAAGACGCATGCCCATGCATTTGCGCGGGCTACCTTCCTAGTTATCTATAAAAAAAAAGGTAGAGAAGTTTCTAGCAAGAATCCTAATGCTAAATCAAAATGAGAGAAGAAATGAAACAAGCATGACACTACTAGTTTATAATTAGGTATACTGACGTAGTGACAGAGTAATTCTGATCAATGCGCATGCAGATCACATACACAATACCAGTTGCTTATGATCTATTATTTATATATAAAAAAAACATATCAACGGTTTACGTAATGCGAAGTCGAGAACACGTTTCTTCTGGACCACGACTTGGAGCCACTTTGTTCCTCAGGTAAACTCAGTGTCCACGTGAAAGTATTGACAAGTTGTCAAGCAGGAACAAAAGCTGCAGCGTACATACGAGAACAACGAACCATTTCCCCACTTTTCACTATCTCCAAGCGCATCAGTCCCGCCGGCCCTTTTCGATAAAGTTCAAGTCGTTTTCCATCGCATTTTGCACCCATGAATGCGTTAACCCAACGAAAATATGGCTCGTGGCCGTACGTGAGCGCATGACCTGCGTGCGCACGCATGTCACTGCCCGATCGATCAGTCACACACTCACACGGTCACACCGCGCGCGGCCCCGGGCCACCCGCGTTGCCATCGACCCCGCCGACCTGCCTGCGTGCGGTCTACCTCGAGGGCGCGACGCCACCCCACCCATCCGTCCGTCTCGCTTGCCACGACGCGACGCGACACAACGATCTACCGATGCTGCCGGTTGCCTCTCGCTCGGACGCGCGGGCGGAGCGGCGCGTTGGCCATATATACACCGCGATTGGCCGGGCGGGGGGTCACCAACCCACCCATTCTCCTGTACACATGCGGTGCGCGGCAGCGACCGATTAAGCAGGAAAAGCGGGGTACCGCACGCGCGAGCGGCGCGACACAATAATTGAGCCGTGCCGTGGCGCGCGCTGGCGCTGGCGCCGCTGTGTCTGTCGCTGGTGTGATGTGAGCGGTGGGTGCTCGTGGCCTCGTGGGGTTTATCCGGGTCCGCGCGCTACAAAAGCTGTAGCGGAGATTGTGATGTAGTACGATCTACTTCAGTACTATCACAAAAACATTATCGCCATGTGTTAGCTCAAAAAAGGGAGATCAGACCGTATCATCTTGTCGAGAGCATATGTGGAAAGACAGAGTGTACATGCATAGAAGATGCGAAATTCGTGTTTTTTAAACGTGGGTAGACGATCGATTTGGTCAGTGCAGGGATTTCAGGCGAATAATGGAGTGTCCAAGCTGGTCGTGCATCGTATCGACTGACGTGAAAAAAAAGGGGTGCAGAAAAAAGAAATTCGCGTGCACATTTGCATGTGTGTATAAACTAATGAAAGTGTGTTCCATATGGTTAGTATATTTGCTGTATTTTAGTGTATTATAGGTTCATCAATCTGCTATAATGGTCGTTTTTTATGCCAAGATTCTCCGCAATGCGCTCCCATGCATGCCTGATTTCAGCGCTACAGTCGACAATGCTCTCTGCCATTGTTTTTCTTTTTGTTGGGATATGGTCATTGCTATTAAGGAGTAATAACGTATTTGTTCGTCGCAACGTGGCTCACGAAATTGAGACATCATACGTGCAGTCTGCATCGTGCATTTTTCCTACCGTGGGATCCATTTGGACCTGCTCGAGCAATCTCTGCCACGAAAAATATTCTCTGTCGGAAAAAATCCATGTCATCCTAAACTTTGAAGAGAAGTTTGTTTAGTATCTTAAACTGTAAAACTAGGTATATATGACCCTTTAAACCTTACAATATTAATAATATTGTTCATATAGCCAGACGGTATTATTTTGTTTTCTAAGTGTCATAGATGTTGTAAAATTTTTACTATATGACTTGCACATTGGACATATATGTTAACAATTTAAAGGGTTATGTAGATGGTGTATTGCATAATATGTAGGGTTGTCTAGTTTGAAGGTTTGGGGTGATGGATAGACTTTCATTCGAGAAAAGCACAGGGCACGTGCGGAACTTTTCCTTCTTCATTCCACAACTTGCAGGCTGCAGCTCGCAAAGGGTGACTGGCTTCAGTTCACTGCCACACAATGTTTTCTACCATGTTGACTTCAACGGAAGCCTTATATTCTTGTGCTCTCAGCAAAGCTGTTGAGGTGGATCACCAAAGTGGCCGGTGAACACAAAGTCCAAGCTAGTATTGAAAATGAACTGTGCCCAGATTCCAGAATAGAAAAACGAAGCAGGGATGCATAATCTGATGAACAAGAAAGCTCGAAGAATCCATCAAACCCTCAATGAACATCCCGGTCGCGCACCATCGCTCCATTTTTTGCTTTGCCTCTGGGGCTGTGGAATCACAGGCATAGGTAGTTTTCAGAAATCAAGACATCTGTCTCCGTCGTCTCCTGCGCCGATGTAACGATGATGCAACCCTCTGGGTAGAAACGGCTCAAGCGATCTGATAGGATTGTCGCTATAGCTTGGAAATCCCGCCCTTTAAATTCCGATAATATGTAATGGCACGCCGCTTGCTGTGCCCGATCCTCTATGTATGAACCTTTAATTTGCTCACTTTCAATGGAAAATTTAGGTGGAGAATCTCTCTCCTCCGGTGATTACTCCAAAAAAAAAAAAAAGGCTTCAAGAATCCACACATTCATCTGCCATTCTGGCGATTGCTATGTATACAAACTAAAAACTTCGAAATAAGTTGCATAACACGTATTGCACATTGCCGTTTTCTCCGGAGCAAAGGCGTACACACCAACACGCACAAACAAAACAAAAGAGGAAAATTGCGATCAGCAAGAACGCAGCGCTATACACAAAAAGACCAAGAAGCGCACGGTTCGTTCCATCACCAAATCATGGCGCGGTTGGTTTCCTCTCCGGCGTTGCCGTCGGCCTCGTCGCCGGCGATCTGATCGAGCACGAGGACGATCGCCATGGCGAACGCCGCGTCGAACCCGGCGCCCACCCGCAGGACGAACACGTCCCTGCCCATGACCACCCGCGCCCCCTCGTCCACCTTCCTCCTGATCTCTGCCACCACCGCCGCCTCCCCGCCTGACTCGGCCTTGGGCGCCACCACGCGGCAGCACCGCCGCGGGAAGGAGCCATCGACGCGGAGGAGCTCGGCGGCAGCAGCGTGGGTAGACGAGAAGGAGGCGGGGAGCGGGGCGAGGAGCTCGACGACAGCGCCGGCCGCGGCGCCGCCGAGGATGGAGGAGCGGCGAGCAGAGAAGAGAGGCTTCTGGCCGTCGGCGCGGGCGCCGAGGTAGCCCTCCCAGCGTTGGTGCAGGGACGGGCGGCGGCGGCGCACGGTGATGAGCGCCTCTCCGGCGGGGCCGAGGAGCGCGAGCTCGCCGGCGGAGGCGGCTCCCCCTCCGTGGCCGCGGCCGTAGGTGTCGGCGCGGAAGGCGAGGCCGCCGGTGCGGTGGTCGTAGGCCGCGAAGCCGTCGCCGGGGGAGAAGTGGGAGGTCTTGCGCACCGTGAGCACCCGCTCCTCCGCGGAGCAGTACTCCTCGCCCACGATCGCCATTGCCGCTGCGCTAGCTAGCTGCTTGCTTGCTTGCTTGCGTTGCTCTGGCTCGCTCGCGTCGCGTGCTTGTCTGCGCGGCGAGGTTTGCAGGCTTAAGTAGAGAGATGGAGTGAGGAGCTCCTGTATCGCTTGATACTGTAAATTCGTATGGAAGCCACTTACGAAAGTAGTGTTTCACGTGAAAACGTGAAATATCCAATATATATATATTAATTAGCCCTGATTACTTTCACTTCGAATGCTTTCCAACAGAAAAAAAAAACCGGTGTTGTCTCATGCCCATGCATACGTGAATGACGTGTATGCATAATGCAGGCTAGTTTCTCCGTGCCAGCTGTTGGCTTGGCTTGAGCTTTGAGCGACGACTCGCTCGCGCGCTTGCCAAGATATCCAACTAGGCGTGGCCGTAGAGTATGGGACACAGAGCACGGAACGGAACAGCGGCGAGGTACGAGGTGCATGCCGTGCGTAGCGATGCGGTACAGTGTACGTATGTACGTGCGCCCTGCGGAGACCATACCCTTCCTCCACCGACTCGATCCCATACCGTCGAGTGCTCGCGACGAGGTCGATCGGCTGCCGCTGACTTTAGTTTTAGACGAACGGCAAGGTCGATCAATACGTTAACGGGTGCGCGGGGGTGCATGCATCAGCATCATTGTGCGCGCGAGCTTAGAGATAGTATAGCCAACTACTGGCTCTAAACCATCTATAGCTAATCTAATAGCCTATTTATATAATAGTTAGATATAAAAATATACTATACCATTAATACTCGGTTCCACATCTCATATACACATAATGTCTTGAAGTCCGTATTGCAGCCGGCTATAAATTTGTAGCCCGCTTTCTTCTCTTTCTTCTCTTTTTTTCTCGATATGTGGTTATAGCTTACTATTGTACCTGCTTTTAGAGCAAGTTTAATAGTATAGCCCACCGCTAGCTCTAATTCATTTATAGCCTATCTAATAGGCAATTCATACAATAGTTGCTTACTATACTATTAACATATGATCCCACCTGTTATACACACATTGTGTCTTATAGTTCGTGTTGCAGCTAGCTACAGATCTGTAGCCCGCTGCTATTTTCTCTTATCTTTTATCTTATTAAAATATGTTTATAGCTGGTTAATAGTCTTTTATTGTACCTGCTATAGCTCCACACCGAGTCAACTATCAACGACATGGACGTGATTTTATAGCTAGCCTGGCCTGGTAGAGGTAGGCTCGATCGGGTCGCCCGTAGCGGGAGTGAGTGTGAGTTGCATTGGGTATGGAGTACAGTACTGTACTTGTGCAGTGTGTGGTGGTGCGTATATTTAGGTGATCTAGTGGATGAAGAACGACCGAAATTGACGTGAGTTTTTGGCTTATGTGTATGGAGATTGAACTTTTGCGCGTCGAAAGATGTTGATAGGTGGAATCGATGATAAGACGATGATGCGTATGCTTTGAACAAACTCGATCGTTCTCCTTCGGTAGTAGTGTCGCGCTCGAATTTTATAAGAGTTCCCTAGCCAGTTTCCCATAGTACTCATAATTCTACTCTCCTACAAAAAGGAGGTACTAGAATTCAAGGCAAAAACTGATTACACTTCATAGTAATAATCCAATCCAATCCAATATCGATGAAAGCATAAGCATACTCCGTATATGACACGTGATGAATCTCCCAACGAAGACGTGTACTCCCTCCGTTTTATAATGTAAGTCATTCTAGCATTTCTCACATTCATATTGATGTTAATGAGAAATACTAGAATGACTTAGATTGTGAAACGGAGGAAATGAATCTAGCTAGATATCTCGCTAGATTCATTAACATCAATATGAATGTGAGAAATGCTAGAATGACTTAAGATTGTGAAACGGAGGAAGTATAAAAGTCGTCTCCTGCATGAATGTCTCCAGAAGTCTTCTGCATGGCCACCGGATACGTGTATCGTCGATCCAGATACACAGTATGGTTCCCTGCTTCGGTGACACTGACGCGCCTATATCACGCCAAAGATCTCCGTTTTCACCCTCACGCGCGGTCCCACGTCCCAATCGGTGGCTGAATCAGCAACACCCGATCACGTCACGTCACGTCCTCATCACCGGCCGGCCGAGGCTTGGCTCCCTCCCAGCCCCATATCCCAGGGGTCCCCATGCCCCCCGCGCAAGCTCGGAAATATCGCGGCGAAAAGCCACCAAACTCTCGGATCCGTCCGTCCTGGCGCGGGCGTCTCTCTCCTTCGGGCAGGTTAGATTCGAGCTGACGCGAGCGCGATACATCCCCCGCACCGCACGCACGCACGCAGCTCCCCCGCACCGCACGCACGCACGCAGCTCCCCCGCACCGCACGCACGCACGCCCTCTTCGGCTACGCGCCACGTTCCCGCGCGAGCGGTGAGCGAGACGCTGCCACGAGGATACGGCTACGCGAAGCAGGCGTGGTGCGATACTGCGATCCCCTAGGGGGCCCGATGCCGTTCTAGTTGCCCGGACATTGGGGGGCAGTTAGGAATTTAGGGCCTACAACTACAAGTAAAACGAAGGAAAAATCTCGATTTCAATTGTCAAACGTGCCTGTGGCAGCTGATTACGTGGTGGCATGGAAAGCAACACTTATTTGAACCTTTTCTCGAACTCATCTGCAACTCTGCAAGGCTGTTCCTGGTCACTGTAACCTCTTCTCATTGTTTCGTTCATCAAGACATCAACGTTCACCAGTGAGCAAATCCTAGAGACGGGCGGATCTACCAGAGTAGACTACAGCATGGCATATGTACGGGCCGAAGTTTTGGATTGTGTGGGCTGCCGGGCTGGGTCGAGAGGTCGAGGTAAGCCAGGAGATTGCCCTCTTTTATATGGCCCACGCTCCAAGAAATCCAGGCATCCAACCAAGCTTCAGCACGGCAGGTTACGGCTTACCAACCAATCGACCTCCATCTCCTGCCGTGGATTTTGTTGTTTCTGCCTGCAAAGACCCAGCATGATACGGTTCATTCCTTCTCTACACCACGAGTATCATCGGTGCAATTGGAAATAGTATCATCATCAGTGTAATTGGAAATGGAACCGAAAGGAGTCATATTCATCTGTAATCTTGTACAGTTCTCTATACCCCCAACTCCCCAAGTGATTGTGTTGTAATCATCTAATGATGGCCTTTCTATAAAAGTTGGGGATGTGCTCTCTTACAAAAATTACCAATAGTTTCCGGCTCCTTCAGGCTAATTTTGTAACCCTATAGCCATGATTATAGGAAGGATGCATAAATTGTTCAAGTGCATGGTTATATCGTAATGCACAACTAATGGTAGAGCATCCAATCACAGGAATATTGAAAACTCACGCTAGTAATCCTACACATCAAGCCCTCCAGTGACGATCTACTCCCCAGGGGCTTAGTTAAACTAAACAGAACGAAGAAACCCCCACTAATGCAATATCGTGTGCCGCATTTGCTTTATTGTAGCATAGCTCCAAATCTTCTGGGTTTTCTCAAACAGGCAAGAAACATTCCTAGTATCGCCTCCCCGATGTGATCTTCAGCAAGATGTTATTAACATCTGAAAAGTATAAAATTGGAGTCAGATCTTCACACCACATGATGCAACAGTAACGACTAAGTTTATATTGAGACAACTATTTGTTTAACAGAAGTGCTACTTTTCTTTTGTGAAAATACAGATAAAATTCCATAACAGCCTAATATAGCATATGCTGTACAATCAACTGCAGCTTTCCCTATCGATAAGAAACTTGTACAAAGCAAAAAAACACACAAGATTCAACAGATAATGTGACGACCTTACTCAGACTTTGGCTCACTGATCAGTGTACCCACACTCTTGAACCAGCGTATGAGATTGCGGTGATCCTTCACATACAGCCAAGCTTGTAGGAAAGGGAAGAGTTTCTCATTTATACCACGGGCCTCGATGTAATGATGGAATGCATCACGCACATTCTCATCCAATTCTCTGTCAATCAAAGAGAAGATAATTATTCATGATCAGTAAAAAGCAGTACATCAACATCCAGGGCTAACATATGTGTTTGTACTGTATCGTCCAGGACAAGCACCATACACAGCGGACTTAGTCTTATACATGTAATAAACATCAAATGAATTATTGATACCCATCCATGAGAGAAACAAACGACCACAATCCAAATAGCTAAGCAAACTTTCAGTTATTGCAAGATAGTAAAAGGCTTTTAAAGATGTGCTTGGATCACTGGACTTATATTCGGGGTTTTAATATTACTTTTAGTACTTTTTGTGCATTGTGCACTGCACAACTGAGCCAAACTGTGAGGCATGTGCATACATATTTAAGGCACATGATATCAGTAACTTAACCAATTATGCAACATGTAAGATTCATATTACTGGGTAAATGTAGCCACTGTTACATAGATCAAAACATTTTTTGGTCATGGTACCTAAGCATCTATGACGTATCACTAGCCATTTGATAAGTGTTTTAAAAGGATTTGTTTTATTTAGCTCTCTCAACATGTAAACATCTCTGTAAATTATGGTGATCATTATTTGTATGCATATATGGTAACCGGTGTAGTGACTGAGAAAATTGATTTAACTGATAGGAGAAACTAAATACCCATAGGAGTACAGAGTTTTGAGCATGCTAGTACATCTGAAATTTTACATGTTTCAAACTCAATTAGCACTAGTAAGGACAACGAAAATATTCTTCCTTTATACACATTAAACAATAGGTAATCCACAGCTTGAGATAAAATATTTACGAACACCACCTGAAAGGCTGAAAGACTACTGTTATACTTCATAGACCTTAAAAGTTAGTACACATCATAAACTCCCACACCTCAAGTGAAAGTATTACAGAACATAAAACACTGGGCACCTGAACTGCCACCATCCTTCATGATTAGGCTAACGCAACTATTTTTACAAAACTATGGTATGCAACAGCTAACAAAATATGCCCTAAAGCCCCATTCTAACCACTAAATTAGTATTAAGATCGCACCTGCTAGGCATTCACTCATTCTAGATCAATTGCTTTCTGATCAGGTTATACTAGCGCCACCAGTCAGATTACCCAAAGCCCCAAAAATTTACTAAAATGCTTGCTTACAAACTGAACCAAACAAGTAATTCACAGAATGAGAACGAATTTCGCTGATTTGGAAGAAAAACTCACTGGAAGATACGGCCCTGGTACCCGTCACCGCCCTTCCCAGCCAAACCCGCCGTCCCAGACTCGGCAGTCTTCGGCCGGAGGCAGACGGAATGGATCCCCACGGCGTCGGGGTACAGCCCGCACAGGAACTGCAGCGACTTGCTGCTCCCTGGCCTGGAGATGTCGACGTGGAGGAAAAGCTGGCTAATCGACTCGCTCACCCCACCCCCGCCGCCGTCGTCGTCGTCCGAGTCGTAGTCGGCGCCGGGGGGCATGATGTTGGCGAGCCTGGCGACGGAGATTGAGATCTCCTCGCCGGCATCCCCGTACCCGCGGCGGAGCACGGGGCCGGATGCCTGGTCCAGGGCGCCCTTGACGATCGTGTAGGGCTTGGGCGGGCTGATCTTGGGCGGGGGCGTCATCTTGGAGACCTCGAGGAAGTGCTCCTTGAGGGAGCGGAGGATGATGGAGTTCACGGCGGAGGAGGAGGCGGCCGCGGCGGCGGCGGCGGCGGAGGAGGAGTATGGTGAGGTGGAGAGGGCATGGCGAAAGAAGGTAGACGCGGCGGCGCGGCGGAACATCGTGAGAAGGGAGGAGCCGAAGGGTTTAGGAGGAACGGGAAACGGTATGGAAGCTGAGGTTTTTAGGTTACCCGGGGTTTCAGATCAGTTTTTTTTTCCTCTTGAACCTACTCTCTCCCCGTCCAAAAAAAATCAAACTCGCACAAGTATCTGGACATCCCTCCTAGGTTATTTTTTTCTTTAACGGAGATAGTACAGTATAAACACCAGATGCAGAGACAAGCACTTACCTTAAAAACGTATATATACACATCCTATCCTTACAAGCATCTTAAAAGACCACGGGCATATTTGAGATTAACAAAGTCACCGCGGGCAGATCTCTCACTGAAACACACACGAGAGCATCCCCGAAAGATTGGGTCGGCATCGCTTGAGAGTTGAGATTGTCGAAGTCACCACGGTCCCCTCGTTGAAATGTACATGCGCACACCTTAACCTTATGAGGTGCTCCGGAAAACTGGGTCGATATATTTTGAGATCGACGAAGTTATCACAGGCCCCTTGCTAGAGCACACACGATCACCCCCAGAAGACTGGACCGATATATGTATTGATGAAGTCATCATGGATCAACATTGTTGATGGGTACGTTACCTACCGCTGAAAGAATAATTAGCTGTAAATATGATCACACATGTCAAGTATAGTACTTAACCCAGGTAAGTTAGTCCCACCATAAGAAACTAACGAGTTAAGTTCGTATTTTATCATATCAGTTCATTTTGGTAATATCAATTGCAGTTGTTGCACGAAAATTAGTACTACTTTTGTCACGGTTAAAATTTGCAGGTTACACTACAATGAATTCGGAAAAATTTAACTAGAACAAATACTTCATATGAAAAATAGGTCAATTTCTTTAAAATTCCCATGAAATTCGTCCAAATCGAATAGGCTCTAAAATTATATAGTGCGTTTCAGACGGTGAACTCACCACACACAACATGTCATTTGTTCTACATGGATTTATAGCCGACCGTATGCTTTCTAGAGTTAACAAATACTTCCTCCGTTTCACAATGTAAGACTTTCTAGCATTCCCCACATTTATATAGATGTTACTGAATCTAAACATATATACGTTTCTAGGTTTATTAACGTATATATGAATATGAGTAATGCTAGAAAGTCTTACAATATAAAACGGAGGGAATACAATATAAAATGTTCGCCGATTTTATTTAGACGGTACGAACTAGTCAATGTCACACTAAAATAAGATTTTATGTGTAGCCATTGCCTATTTACAAATTGTAATATCAGATAGAAACCCTTCGGTGTGTTCAGCAAATGGGTTATGACTTATGATTGGTGGGATTGAGAAGAAAAATAGATAAATGTTTAGGATTAAATGTGTTGTAAAGAATAGATGACTAAGATACAGTAATATTACCTTTAGAGTGTCTGATATTATTCTCCTGTCCTATTTACCAAACAATCCCTTTGAGTGTGGTTTTCAGTAACCCTACCTTTTTTTGGTTAAAGAAAAAAAAATGAAAACTAAGGCTGTGTTTTTAACTGGATCCAAAGTTTGGATTTTGATTGAAATTGAAGATGATGTGACTGAAAAGTTGTGTATGTATGACAAGTTGATGTGATGGAAAAGGACTGAAGTTTGGATTCAAATTTTGGATCTAGACACAGCCTAAGTAGTAGGAGAAACGTGGTTGGTCACGATGTGCATACGCCTCCGGCCTTCCACATCCTTCCAGAAACGAGCCGGCCGGATTGCTCTCCAAGCCAAACACGGCCCAGAGAGGCGAGAGCCCCCACACCGCCAAACCCGACCCGGAAATCAACTGCACACGCTCCGATCCCCTCTCTCCAGATCGATTCGGACCCCATGGGTTGGCGTTGGCACGACGACGGCGATGACGGCGGCCGCGGCCTGGGCGACATCCCCGACCTCGCCGGCGGCGGCGGAGGCGGAGATGGGGAGCGCTGCGCCACGCGCCGGGTGGTGCAGTCTCGGTGCCACACGGAGGAGGTGGAGCCCGGCCGCTTCGTCCGCAAGTGCGAGAAGACCGAGCAGCTCCTCCGCGACTGCGTCGGCAGGTATATACATATACTCCATGGCCTCGCGCTTTTCCCTGATCTGTTCCTTCTTTTCCTGCGAGGATCCCCTCTTTGCATATTACTGTTCGTTGTTTTAGTGATGAATTGGTGATAACATGTCATGCGCAGTTGTGTTACTATTAGTCCCGTGTATGATTGTGAGCTGTGTATAGCCGCCTCTCTGTGGACGATTTTCGTGAGTCTGTCCTCGCTGATTTGATACAAACACGAATTCATTAAGAATGGGGAATGTGCCGTGATGATCGAGACGTTTGAGTTCTGTGGTGAATAGTATGATCAAATGTGTGTAATAACTTGGGCTTTTGAATTTTGGTAGCTAATTAGATATGGAATTTCTATCCAGTTTTAGGTGCCCGTGCCATCGACATGGGTTAAAAGTTATTGTGGGCTATTTTGCGCTCAACTTGTTAATCAACAAATTTTGGACGGAGGCAGTACTTTGTAGGCATGGGGTAAATTTGTATGATACACTTGTTGCTTGAAGATGTTCGTGAACTCATGGGATTTCTAGACACCTACAACCAATTACATTACAGTGTTATTATATTCTAACGATATGTAAAGAGCAGCTGTGTTCGTGTTGTCTACACTAAAGATTCAACAACTAGTGGTCATCATCAAACCGATAGCATATCCTCATTTTGCAGGATTTTGAAAACTCACATCTCGTTAGCATCCTTCCTTTTATTTCTTCACATGCCTCATGTTAAACTTTTAAGTGCATGAAACCCAAATTTCTGTATTTCGTAGCTCCTTGTAACCAATGTACAACACTATGATTAGTATTCTGGATAGATTTTGTACTTCCCAAAGTATTTTGGTTGTTGACAAGCTATTACAATAATCTGATGGATAACCTACCATACATTATTTCTCCTAACCGATCACAATAATCTTCTTCTAGGCCCTCTGAACTGGTGGAATCAAAAACTGAAAATACTGAAGAAGACGTCACAGATGAAATGAAAAGCGGGTCACTATCTCTTGGTTTTCCGACCAATGAGCCCTTTGCATTTCCTGGACTTCGCAGTGACATAGAAGCTCTTGAGAAAGGCCTTTTCGGGAGCATTGGTAGCTTTCTGGATGATGCTGAGAGGATGACCAATGATTTCTTGAAGTCTTTTGGTGTCCCTTCCATCAATGAAAGGGAGTCGAGCTCATTTGATGGACAACCTACAGGCAGGCACATTGGTGGACAACCTGCAGGCAGGCACATTGAGGAAGGTACTGCAAAGGACACTAAACAGAACGACTACGCAGAATTCAGCAGCAAGATTACAGATGTGTAAGGATCTACAGTTAGCTGACGCACCTTTGGGAGCAGCTTGCCAATTTTGTATTTTGAACATCTCCATGGTTGTAATTGGAAGGGGAAGGATCAGTTTGACTGTTTTATAAGCAGAGTCGTCTGAAGTCTGAAGTGTTGCGCTTATAAGAACAATTGTGTATATTACTGTTTTAGATAAGCCTGTTTGTGTTCCTCAACAATGAGATCAATTATGGATGGTTTTTTTCTCTGCTTAAGTTTGGTCATGGATAATGCAATGCATTGTTGTTTCTGCGTTCTGCTGCTCTTGGCTTCAACTGAAATATTTGGGGGCCAAAGGGGCAGAGACTCTGGCACCCTGATGCGCGATTGCCCATGCCCATCCTAGCTAATCCATTTGTGCGTTCTTTCAAAGGAGATTGGGGAGATTGTGACTCGTTTTCCACGCGCACGCTTCCCAAACTACTAAACGGTGTGTATTTTGCAAAAAATTTCTATATGAAAGTTGCTTTAAAAAATCATATTAGTCTATTTTTAAAATTTAAAATAGTTAATACTTAATTAATTATGCGCTAATGACATATAAGTCTCTTCAGGATGGGCTGGGGCCTGGGGATAGGAAATTCTCCGATCCCCTGTTTTTCTCAACTTTACCTTCACGTGGTCTTCGAAGCAATTTCAAGTTGCTATGATGCTTCTAGATATCTGAAATATGGACCTGCACAGTGTCACGGTGAACGCTCCTCTGATATTTCGGTAAAACTACGAAAGCTCGTAGCTACTTCCTCTCTCCTAAAACAAATCCACTCTTAGCATCCTATCCCAAGACAACTTTAGTTGTAAGGATAAAATAAACAAAGTGTCCCTTATTTATAGGAAAATAATATTAATAGATGGATAAAGGGTATTAAAATATGGTGAGATAATCCCTTATTTCTCTATGGTATATGAGCTGCAGATGCTAGATGCCTGGTGAGGTATGTACGCTTTCTTATTATGAAACATGTATATCATCTCGATTTTTCGATGTTTCTATGCCAATAATTCGAAACAGAAGATTTCTCCTCCGTTCATTTGAAAGTCTGGTTTCAGACGTAAGCTACCAAAAGGATGAAATTTTTTAAGATAATACCAAAAGGATGAAATGCTTGGTAACTCGGGCTAGGTGCTTAGAGTAACCAGAACCTGCACACTACTTTATCCTACGCTTTCTATATAAGTACAACCACTAACTAGTGAGGATAAGACATCATCAAAATAAACCTAACCTGGGAATATAGGGTAGGTTTGGTTTGCTACCTATCAAAGATTTGGTAGTACCAAATGTTTGGCAAATTTTGGTATTATCATTCTTTTTTGGTATCCTTGGTTGGGTAAATATGTTTGGATTACTACCAATATGAAGTCAAAACTAGAAATTGAGCACGCCTATTGGCGCACTTGTTTTAAACCCCATGAATTTGTTTTCGTGTTATTAAAAAATATTATGTTTGTTGAAAAAGCAACGTCCTCAAATTTTGACATCTTAAATTATTAAATTGTAAATATCATATTAATAGATTTTTGATGAAAACTCTTCTATATAGTTGTGTTTTAATTTTTATAGTCTAGAAAACAATGATAAAATATGTGTAATAGAGTCTGTTGATTTTTAAAATGATATTATTTTAAATACACAGGTAATATAAATTTTGCAAAGTTTTATAAGAATTAGTTAAATTTTATTGAAACTTGAGAAAAAAAAAGTACATTCGAATAAAATTTCAATCAACTTTTAATTTAAAATTTAGGGGCAATTGTATTTTTACCCTGTTTTAATGTCTAACTTCCAATTTGACCCTGTTATTTTAAGTTTGCTTATTTGACCCTCTTTTTAAAAAATAAAGATCAAACTTGACCCTATTCTGTGAAAGCAACTTAACGGTGTTAACTCATGACAAAAGTACCATTTATACCCTTGCTTGTTTGACCCTTCTTTATTGAAAGTTTTTGTTTATTTATCCAGGTTTAACAAATTTTGACCTAGGTTTGATAAATTTAACATAGGTTTCACAATTTGTCTTAAATTTGATGAATTTTGACATATATTTGATAGCTTTTTGAAAATTTTGACTTAGATATGATATATTTTTTTACAAAATTGACATACACTTCACAGATTTGATAAAATTTTGACAACATAAATCTCAAACTATATATTCCAAGAAAAACACAAACGCCATGAGGCTAACCAGATGTGTCTCGAGTCCAAGCTGCTCAATCTACCGCAGCTGCTACGCGCCGCCGTGAGAATACTCACCGTGTTGCCGTTGCGGCCGCACCTGCGCGTCGTCGTGGCCGCACCTACGCGCTGCTGCAGCTCCCACATGCCGCTTTCGCTCCCTCCGTGCGCCGTCGCCGCTAAAGTTCCCACTACGTGCTGCCTCCGCCGCTGCTGCACTCGCGTGTAGCCGCCGCAGCTCCTGCGCACCATCGCCGTCGAACTCTTCTCCGCGCGTCGCCTCCGCAGCTCCTGCTGCCGCCGCCGCCGGTGAAGACCACTCCGCGCGCCGCCGCCACAGCCCCCACCGAGTGCCGCCTCCGCATCTCTGTCTCCACAGCTCCTGCCGGCTGCCGCCGCCGCCGCCGAAGTCCTCTCTGCGTGCCGCCACCGCAGCCCCCACCGAGCGCCGCCTTCGTAGCTCCTATCGCGCGCCGCCGCCACAGCCCCGCCGCGCAGCGCCTCTGTAGCCCCCACGCGCGCCGCCGAGAAGGCCCGGCCGGCTGGGGTGAAGTAGACTGGTGAGAAATTTGGGGATATAATTGATTTGGTAGTCAGGGGCATTTTAGTCAGTTCAGATTATAAAATAATTTTTTTCGGTGCACTAAGTAAACCCTAACTGTACAGTGAAAATAGGGCCAAACGGCAGTTCCGATTTCTAAAAGTAGGGTCAAATAAGTAAAGTTGAAAAAGTACGGTCATATTAGTAGTTAGACTTTAAAATAGGGTCAAATGAGCAATTGTCCTTAAAAAAAGTAGCAAATCACATTATTACGGAAATCCTTAAATTTCTGTTTTTTCTAACCACATTATTTAGGGTTTCTTTCTTTTTGTAAAATTATAGTTGAGTTTTCTATTAAATGATAAAATTGATCATTGATATTTTTTGTAAAGGTGTTCTAAAGGAGCTACCGTACTCATCATTTTTTCTAGTACCACATGAAAAGTTACAATCGTATAGATTTTGTGCCATAAACACTTACTCCCTCTGTTCCAGAATATAATAAGTTTTAGAGTTGGGCCCGGTTATTAAGAAAGTAGGTAGAAGTGATTGGTGGAGGGTTGTGATTGGATGAATAATGGAGGTAGGTGGGAAAAGTGAATGGTGGAGGATTGTGATTTGTTGGGAAGAAAATGTCGGTTGAGAAGTTATTATATTTTGAAACAAATCCTAAGGGTTAAAAGTTGTTATATTTTAGGACGGATGAAGTATTTACCATCACGCACACGGGAGGGTTACCTTTCATCTTCTTTAAAAGCCAGGTAATCTCTCAAATGACCAGGCAATGTATTGAGTTTTCTAGAGATTTATTATAGGTATATGTGCACAGGAGACATACTTTCCAACACACATATACTGCACCTCTTTACCTTTAAATGAACACATGGCAGTTTTCTAAAGAAGCCTTTACTAAATACTAGCCAGTAAAGTCGTGCGTTCGCATGACTATGCCTTCCCACCTATTAAATGCAATATATTGATTATAATTATATTGTAAATAAGTTCTTAAAGAACATATTTTGTAGGAACTAGGAAGTTTATCTATTATAAACAATATTTGTGATCATAAATAATTAACATGCCTAGCATGTAAAATTTGTCGTAAATATTAATATTAGCATATGTTCTCAACTTTGTATATTATTAGCAGGTATTATATTTTAATTATTAGTCCAAGTAATTTTTAAACATTTATATTAAAGCATTAATTTCTGAACATTCGAAGAACCGTGTTCTGTATTGTTGGAAGGGAACACACCACGCTTGGAAAAAGCATTAGTTTTTTTTTCTAACATTCTTTTTCGAGCTTAACTCCAGATGCTCCCCTTTTCTGATCAAAGTAAAATGACTATGCTTTTATTATTCCCATGTTTTCTTCCGATCCTTCCATTGGAAGTGTCATGAATCTTCTCCTGCCCTCTATATTTCTAACCAATCCTTTCCAAATCCAACGGCACATCTTAAAAGCATACCTGGCTCAAATCAAAATGCGAATAAACATTTTACGTTCATTGTATGATGACGACGACGACGACGACGACGACGATGATTTAGTGTGCACGTGGCTCAATAGGAGGCTAGATATTTGGCCCTTAAATCGGTTATAGAGATTTAATATTACAGAGGAGAAAATTTAGATTAGTGCCAAATTTACTTGAGGCATTACCGATTTGTTTGCTACAATCCAAACACCTAACATTACTATTCAAGCTGCCAATAAATTGGTTGGACACATTTTGGTAGTAATCCAAAATAGCTAAATTCAATTGTCGCTATATAGTTCTGTATTTTCACCCATCTTTACGTGACGCTAGACAAGTCGGCAGCAACATCACACGAGTTATTGTCACCACATTCATTCTTACGGTTTTATATGAATTCCTGTAGTAAAGCGTGAAGTATCATCGGGTTTACTTTTATTCTGAAGTGAGAAAAAATTGCCCAAAAAAGATAGCAACCAAGCAACTCGACTTAGCAAAGGGGGGGGGGGGCATGTTTGGGGCACGCATTGCGCTTGCAACAAAACTTTGGCTGCTGCTATGTCTGCTGCTATGTCTGGGATAATCAGTTGGCACAAATTGATGAATTCGAAAAGGAGGCCCCATGAGCTGCTAGGATACTATGTTAGATTGTAGGAAAGAGATCCTATGAGATTTTTTCAGTTTAATTTAATAGTTGTATAAATTATATGTAGCTATTCTATAAGAAAACATGATAATAATAATAGAGTAAATTGTACCAGCGGTCCTTAAACTTGTAAGCAGATTTCACCTAGGTACACGAACCTGCAAAGCGTGCATCGAGATCCCTAAATGTAGTTTATTGTATCATCTCGGTCCAAAGTCCTGTTTGACCGTGGTTTTACCAGTGTTCACCTAGTCGCTAAACGCTAGTCGGACGGCCACCTACTGACTAGCGACTAGGCTGATTAGGCGGCGACTAGACGGATTAGGCGAATTAGACATTTTTTTCTATTTCTTTCACGCAAAAATACTGATTCTAGATATTCGGTACTCGGTAAATATAGGCATTTAGGCAAATAGCATAAATCATAGTTAAGTTCAGAAATCATCAAGTCCATACAACGCACTGACACTGCACACGAAGCATTGGGTTTAGTACAAATCTATAGGGATAGCGAACACATCAGTATAGCCACTGTACATGCACATCATAATTCATAAATCATAACTTTATAGATCTGAGGGGCTGGAGCTAGGAGAGAGGAAGAAAAATTTATCTAGAACTGGAAGAACAGAGAAGGTGAGGTGGTGGAGGGGAGCCTGATCCCCTGATGGCCTGATCTAGGGTTGGCGTAGGCTGCTTGAGTGGTTCCGTGCTTGACTGCTTCAATCGGTGTGTTTGCCACCTTCCATTGACAGCAAGGATGAAGGATGAGATGGAGAGCAGGAGCAGCAGAGGAGGGGGAAGAACGTGGAGCAGCAGAGGAGGAGAGGGAAGAACATAGCGGCGCGGTGGAAGATCGATGGGCACGGCGACGGAGCCGTCGCTCGTGGCGGTGTGAAAAAAGGGGGTAGGCAGGGATTGCGCTCTCTCTCCAGGCTCTCAAATAAGGCAACCTAAATCCCCTTCTATACCGAGTCGGTCCCGCGTGGCGCTTCTAAATTTTATCACGCCCAAATTTTGATTTCTATCGCCTAGTCGCCGCCTAGACGCACTGTCCCTTTGTCTAATTGCGCTCAGGCACCGTCCTGTCCAGGCCGCCTAGAACCGTCTAGGCGGTAAATCGACTAATTCACTGCCTAAGGTGTAAACTGGACAAATTGTCGCCGACTAGCGATTAATCACCGTTTAGACAGGCTAGGCGGCCGTTTAGGCGAACATTGGGTTTTACTTACGTGGCATGCTACATGGATGGTGATGACATGGCGAAATTTTCCCTCCTTTTTTTACCTGCTCTGCCTTCACTATGCATGTCGAGTCGCCGGTCGGCTTTGCCCGTAGGCCAACGACGGATGGATTCGGCAGGACAACGGATTCTGCAGCGGCAGTGTTCGGCATGAGTGGATCCGGCGTCAGCCAGTCAACACGTTGCGCGGACCAAGCCGAAGGCGCTAAGGCATGGGGGCTCGGTTCCAAATGGAGGTGCTCCTATCTCCTATCGTCCCTAGTGGATTTGTAGCCTCCGTCCCTCAAGGAGGGAGGATCCGACGCAGGTGACACAAGGAAATGACATATCCTATGTTGTTGTTCCGCTAACATGAAGGGATGACAGATATGGCAGCACCAGGGTCGGACGGGACCGACGTTGCTGTCAGCCACAAGCGCTCCGATGTGAGGCTCCACATTGCTCTGCGTCGTGTCCTCATCCGTGCCATCCATGCCGCCACCTAAACCGAATCGAAGGGAAAGAGATCTTAGCCAAGTTGGAGCGGCAACGCTCGCAGAGGAGGGAGTAGAAGCAGCATCCCAAGAAGAAGTAACATGCTAGTAGCATCACCATGATGCCCGCCAGTGCAGGCATCCGCCGACACCCATCTCTCCGGTCGCGAGCTCCTCCATTAGCTCAAGCCCGTCACTCCTCCCAGCTTAAATCATGTCGGATCAAGCCACAACCTATCCGAAGTCATCATCCCCAGCCACCGCTCTGCCGTTGGGCCAACCCCGTTGCTAGCGCATCTACCTTCGGTGGTCGGCGTCGTCTCTCTCGCTGCCTCCCTCTCCCTTTGCTGTTGTCGTCAATGCGGTCGTTGCTCATCATCACAGCCGCCGTTGGTACATCCAGCAGTGAAGGAAGAAGAGAAGAAGAATGGGAGAATAAGAACAGGAAAAGGAAAATTTGTTCGTGTCATCGTTCACATAGGATGCCACGTAGGCAAGCCACAGTCAAACGAGACTCTGGACCAGAATTAATACAATAAACCAAGTTTATAGATCTTGATGCCATGGATTAGCCCTGCACAAAAATTGCAATGGTAACTCATGTATACTCTTATTTTGCAGTCGTCGCTAAAACCTATCTTATGCAGGCAAATGAAGCCCAACAACACTTAATTTAGGAATAACAGCACTTCATAATCAATTCGTAGCTAGCACGCAAATGAAGCCCAACAACACTTAATTTAGGAATAACAGCACTTCATAATCAATTCGTAGCTAGCACTACCAAGATAGGTGAAATGTGGAAAGACAGCCTACTCTGAATACCGTACTCTACCACAACGTTTTCTACTTCATTTTGCCATCAGCAAAACACACACTGCCTACAAGGGCAAAACAAAATATTGCTTGCAAACTATGCACGCACACGGCGTTTCTGAATTGTGTAGACTAATCACATGTGTGTTTTTAGGGTAACACATCAAACTATTCACCGACTCTTACAATCGTCTACTAATAAAAAAAAATAAAACCAAGGGAACCGAAACCAAGATCGAGATACAATTTTTTTGAAACGCTTTCTTTCACAAGTCTGTGTGCTACCATATTCGCGACGAACCCACCTCAGTTTCACCTCAGTTTCAAACCCTAGAAATAAAGCCAGGGGAACCGAAACTTGACCCCTGGTCAAGATACAATTTTTTGAAACACCTTTTTTTCGCATGTCTGTGTGCTACTATATTCGCCAAACCCACCTCAGCTTCAAACCCTAGAAGTCATCAAAATGGCTGAGATCTTGGATGATCACCCCATGGACCGACCTTTTAAGCTCACTTTGTTTCACCATATTGGCACCCTCCCAAGGAGACAATTTTCTCAAAATGTGTAGTTTAACGTTACAAACGAAAACAGATTCCCCTTTCGATTTAAACCTGAAATAGATTTCGATCATATTATGTGGGCATCAACAGTTATCCCACAAAACCCCATGGTGAAACAAAAACCACTGGGATGATCAGCCCATGCCCAATATACAGCTTTCAGAATCTACCTAAAAACAACTAAGAATTCCAACATTAAAGAACCCTGTACACCCAACCAGATGGAAAATTTCTTTCAACCGACCACACCAGACTGTGCAACGCCTTCTTGCGCAGACCAAAATAATGACTATATGTCTAGAAGAAGACAATGAACTTTGCCGGGTGAGGAATAAATTAAGGTGCTCTTGATGATCTCATTAGCTTGTACTACGGCAGGTGAGAGCTCTGGATACATCACATAAATGTGATAATTTAACCACCTCTAGTTGAAAATCTTCACAGCCTTATCGAAAGAATTGCGGTTCTGTAATTTATTCAAATTGTTGTCAGAAAATGCCCACTGTTCACATGTCAGTTAGTAGGAGTCATAAGCGTATACCTGATTGGACAAGCATGACCTTTTTGGGGTGACGTCTGAGTGCTCAAGTCCTAGGCATTGTTCCCATGGTCCATAAACATCTTTCTATATTAAATAAACAAGGCAGAAAAAAATTATTTGAGAATAATCCGACTCAACTCTTAAAAGAGAATTTAACCCACCTGGAATCGGCTCAATACGATATCTGAATCTTGAAAGTATTCACCAGCCAGGCGATTGTGAGCAATATAAGCAAATTTCCACTGATCAAAGTAGCTCACGTCAGATAGTATCCAATATATGATACAGCAGAAAAGGTAATTGAAAAGATCACTAAAGGTTTACACTGTAGCACCAGCCTCACCAACAGTAAACAAGCAGTAATAAAGTAATACAAAATCGATCGTGTATGAGATGAAAGGTTGAAATAATTACCTTCGCAAACTGCTCATCAGAAACCAGAAGTTTCTTCTGAATACGCACTTTGATATCTGATAATGTCTCACCATCACGGATAAGAAAGAAGAAAGGTTCTCCGTAGTAATCAATGTGCTGGAAAGATTGAGACAAATGATTCAATAAGAGAAATCCCAGGTCGCCGTTGCTTCTCTCAAATGGCACGCAAGAAAACAAACGTCACAAAAAACAAAGAATTGGAGCGAGAATCAGAGATGCACTCTGAAGAAAATACAGAACATGCTCAGGCAAATGGAACGATGCTTCATAATAGAACCATAAACCAGCATAGGAATTGAGAGGCACTGATCATTGAGGTCAGCTTAGTAAGTGACGTTACACCTTTAGGCAGCATTCAGTTGTGTCCATTGGAGGACTATATAGTGGCCCATTATTACAGATAAAATGCAACGACCTGGTTGTTTACAATGAAATGAAATGACACAATAAATGCTTCAGTCATCTCTTGACGAGACAATGCCTAAGAAAGTACCAAACAGTTTGAGCTTATCCAGGAAGACAGTTAAAACGTGGATAGATATTTCCAACATTGACTGAGCATGTTCACGCTCAACCCTTCCAAGGCCAAAGCCATATTTCCCATTACACGTTTCCCATGTAAACAAGCTAAAGTACAACGACTAGTCAGTCCACCATGTAAAGTAGCAAACCTCAATAATTTCTACTATGTTCTTAATCACTGTGACAAGTGGGACAGCTAATACTTTAGAGATGACTGTTTCATCACGCTTAGATCAAAGAAGGCTGAAATGGGATTTACTCTGAACTATATCCAGAATCATGATGTCGTGAACATTGACATGTTCCTCAAAACTGGTCTTAAATATATGACACCATTGACTCTAATTCATTTGATTATCCATCTTTTCTAGAAATATCTGTGCAAATAGATAAACATTCGAGGCACACTTAAATTACTTTGATGACAGATCAAGCGGTACTCTTCACATGACTTAACTAAGTAATTGAATAAATATTGCTGGACATAGTTTGAGGACGAAGTCAATTGTGTTGTATATTAAAAACCAGAGGGAGTACCAAATGACTACAAGCAGTATTGAAACATTAGGTTCTAAATATATAAATACCTGTTTTTCTATGATGAAGTGACAGACATGAACCAAACGGTCTCGCACACCAGCATTTTTCTCTTCTTCAGGAACCTGACCAACAGAAAAGGAATATGTGGAGAAAAGGTAGCTAATTATGTACACTAATTAACAACATGTTCAGTTTGAGTGGGTTATTCCATGGATGATTTATTCCAACATGAGATGACCACATTTTATTGTGTCATCTTATTACAGGGGATGACGTGTTGATGAGCCCACTCATTTTAACAAAGCATGCCCAACTGTAGGTCATTTGCTTTGTAGCCTGAACTTCAGATTGCTTAAAGGACAGAACATCTCAATAAAGTTTCCGTATAAGCAAATGCTTACCTCTTCAACACATAACAGTCCATTGAATTCATTAACTGAAATTTTCTCCGAAGGTTGATACACCTGAAAAATTAACGAGGCAAGTGATTGATCATGCATAAAAGAGGTATTTTCAACCACTATTAAGTATACGTGTACCTTGATGAAAGAATAGAAAATATTGTTTTCTACGATGAAAGCAGGGATGAAACTTTACATGGTAAAATGAAATCATGACGTGAGCATTATGTGTTTTTCTTAAAGAGCATATGACGTGATTTTTGGTAAAACTTGGAAGAGTCAGGCAAAACCTGCCAGGTTGACTACCTTTCGTAATCAAAGTGAAAGAAAAAATCTATCAACTCAAACAGAGAGATCTTTGTTATTTTACAGCAGGAACTGATTTTCTACAACAATACAACCCTCCAGTTTCAGAAACGAGCTTTGCAGTATTTTTTTTTTGTGTGTAATGGTCTCTACCCTAAGAATAAGCCTTTAAGAATTACAGAAGAACTGTTGAAATACCTTGCGTATCTTGTTTTTGTAGACCTCAAATAACCGGAATTCAGCATCACTATAAGATAACTCAACCTGAAAAAAAATCATTAAATTGCCATGCACACACAACACTTGAAAGAAAACTAGCAGTTGATTCACCTTGGATTTCATGTCCTCAATCAAATCAGACATAGTGCTACCTTTTGGCAACCGTATAAAGTGAGATGACACCTGATAAGTAAGCATTAGCACAGGACATGATCAGAAATATAGAAGTGGTTACAAGCACAAAACGAGTTCAAACAAACCTCATTGTTTGTAGCATGATAAAAGGCAACTCTCAATGTTATCAGATCTTGCAGTACTGGCAAAGGGATGTCCAGTATCTCATAATACAATATGTCAGACATCTGCCAAACCAAAGGAAGCGCAAGTAATTTCATGTAAAAGGCACAAAAGAAGTTGCTCAGAATACTCCATAAAGCTGCCAAACCTGATTGCCATTCCTTAGCATGTCCGAAAGATGATCAAGACCTCTATACTTAATGTAGTGAGATTTGGGCATCTGTGAATACGGGAGGTGTTGTGTAAGGCGGAGTTTGGAAGGATCATCGAGTCCAAGTTGATTAGCAACTTTTTCAACAACATCATCATACGTGAAACGCTTTGAACTTCACAAATATGAAAATAGGAGGGGAAAAAAACAGTGAGTCATATCACAGACAAAGGAGGTATGTCAGTTATTATATGTATGTTCAAATATTCCTGGCACATACAGCTCCAAAGTGAAGTCATCATCTTTTGGATTCTCAAGTAATCTGAAGTGGACAACCTGTAGATAACAACAATAAATTCCACTTGTGGGAAATAATAAATGAAATATACAGAAAATTCAGACAGGAATCTGTTTTTTTGCGAAAAGGAATTATTTGAAAGGGTAGTTGTTCCATGTTTCACTACAGATACCATAAACCTTAATGAAGCAGCGCCCAACACCCTACAGACACACATATTTCTTCCATTGCACAATGTCATTGACTTTTCAGGAAGACCACATATATATTTAAAATCATACAGCCTTGCCAACATAATTCAGCTTTCCAGAAAGGGAAAAATAACTACATGGTTCTGATATTCTTTACTCTCTTCTTACAGCTCCAATCTAGAGCTCTACGCTCAAACATGTTAAACTTAGGGATGAAGTGTGACTGAGAATAGAGATCCGACAGGAGCTATCGGATGTGAATACATAAAACATATCTATTTTTAAGAGAGTATTTTGTAATGGATGGAGCACTGGAGCATGACACAAGAAAACTGTTTGCTCCATATACCAGTATGCTTACATAGTGAACAAAATAGACATTACAGTGGCTAGTGGCACAAACCACAACAAATGAATTGCATAAAAAAAAAGGAGGAATAAAAAAAATCAAAGGAGCTAAAAGAAATATAGCAGTGTATCAAGACAGAGAATGTATTAGCAGAAAAGAGCTAAAAAAGAGAAGCTATAGATATTAGAATTTGATCACATTTAGGAGGCTTGCACTGAAATATGGTCACAACAATTCTCTTTGTTCAAGTGATAAAGTTAACATAATTATTTGTGTGATTACACATATTTCATTCCTTAAAATTAGCTGGCGGTTATGGTGTAAAGTGCCTTTCTTTCTCGGTTTCTCCAAGCAGGCCATATTGGTTATATTGGCAAATGGCAATGTACACACCCCAAACCATGTCACCCACAAGCACACCCAACATGCAAACAGGACAGCACCATACCACCAACTTGGGCAAAGGTATGTTCCCTATGGAAAAACATACAAGACAAACAAAGCCAGACTACTCTACTGGTAATATTCTAATCCATGAAGAAGTAAGGAATTCCATGTTCAAACGTATCAATCCAAACAAAGATTATGCTAACAATTTAACAGGGCATAGAAAAAAAATGATAATACGACTACCCGAGCTAACCGGCTGTTCTGCACTGTTCTTTACTTCTTTTTCTTTCCTTTTGGCTCGGTGGGTCAGAGTGGCTAGGCTTTGCCAGAAGGATCATCGTTTTGGTAAGCTTGCCTCACCAACTAGCTAATCAGACCGAGGTCTTACTCCTCACCAGCTGAGCCGTTATTTTCCTTTTAGCAATCCTAATATTAGAAGTAGCTTGACTTTACTCTTTTTTTTTCAATTCTGAAATAGCCTTCAGCCCACTGGTACCAGTGGTGCCTTGATCACTTGAAAGTGAGGCTGTTGGAAAGTTTGTCTCTAGTCTATCCCATTATCCCATTCGCGAGTTATTCGACTTCTTTTTCTTAATTAGCAGATTTTAGTTATTGGCATCCATAAGGATAATGGGGAAAACAGAACAAGCAAAGGTCTGTTGCAACTGTTACTGACTGAAGGACAAAAAAAGAAGATAAGATAACAGTCCACAGAAAAATGAAAAAGCATCAATTCATCCCCAGGACAGATATATTTACCTGTCTATTTTGGATATATTCAAAGAAAGATGGCACATCGGCACAGCGATAGTGGTCCAACTTTTCTGGAGAACAACGTTTTTGGTAGCATATAATGTCACCATCTTCAAGCTTAAATCAACACCAGACAGTCAAACAGGATAAGTAAAATGACAACTAAAACTCTTGGAAAGCTAAACTAAATCTGTTAGAAAAAAACAAAATATTAATAGAACAAACCTGGCTTGAAAGGAAGGAATCATTAATGTTAATAGGTTCACACATTACACTTGGCTCGAACATTACTTCCTACAAAAAATTAGGGAAATAAATTGCAGTTTTACAACTCCTCAAATGGTGCCTAACTAAAATAGTCAAGTAGAACCAGTAACTAAAAACTAACCTCATACAGTTCAATATCTTCATCTGACTGAAACCCTGCCATCTCTTGCAATTTTTGCACTATATCAGCTGGCTTCCCTGATGCTTTCACAAGAAGTTTTCCAACATATCTATTTCATAATAACAGGGATAATATCCATGCAGCTTGGTCAGGTAACCCATAGAAGTAAATTAAATAAATAAATAGCTATATGCATATACAAGAGATAGGAACAACCTTAGCTCTTCCTTTTCAGGATCATACAGCTTGAAGAATATTAATATGTCATCCTTTGTCTTTGGAGGCACAGAAATAGGATGATTTTCCTGTACACATGTCATAATCTGGGTTAAATTGTCCACAAGTAAACCAAGATCAATGAACTTTGGCTAAACAAGTAGCACAACACAATTGAGTAGATGACTTAGCAAATAAAAAGCACTTTAGTAAGTAGTTAACCTGTCCCAATGCAACCTCCAAGAACAGTTTCAACTCAGAATTGAGTGATTTATTTGATGGATCTGTAAGGTGTCCAATCTGCAGAAACAAAATTTATTAATTGCGAGTCAAGAGAGCTGATAGATGAAATAAATGGAAGCTAAAGACAAACACAAAAACAAAGTAGATCTCTAAATTGAATCAAGTAATGTTAATAGGTAGATAAGCTTAATCAAAGTGCAATATCCACACGCCTGGTTGGTTGGTTGCACTATTAACTCATAAATCTAACCAAGATATAATAATATACCTGAATCCTCGCATATAGAAACTGTCTGTGTATTCTGTATACATAACTACTAGTTCCACAAAATGAGTGCAAGGTACCAATCTCTGTTTCAGTACACTCAAACCATGTATTTCACAAGAGTTCTTTACTTGAACAGTTTAAAAGAACAGAAAATGCCCGCTGCTCCTAGGGGCATCCCCTCAACTCCAACGTTGGAGAATTGGGAAAACTGGATAAGTTCCCTAAAAAGCAACTTTATGGTGCAAATTATGTTATGTGCGCATACCAAGTTTCACAGGCAAATTCAACCATACTATGAATAAACTGGACTATGAAGTTATGCATATGTGGAACACTTGATGACCTACAGCCAAGAAACTTTTGGGGTTAGGAACAGTGCACATCCATTATCCACAAACTGGACTATGGTGCCTCCCATATGAAATCATATTTGATCTCTTATATCCTCTTACCCAGTTTATCACTCCCACCACTGACACCTTACTTAACCAAACTTCATCTATTCTATACTCATTTAAAAAGACCATGGGTCTTTAAATGGTAATGAAGTGCCACATACATCCCTAAACTTGAAGATATAAGTTGGCAAGCATTGTGATCTGGCTCACTTCAGTCATCACTTTGGACATGGCTAAAAGTGTTGATGTGGGGATGAAATAGTGTTGTGAAGTCAACAAAGTACTCCCTTGTTGCACAACACTTTAATTGTGGTTTCGCATAGTTTTAGTTTGACCACTCCCATTTTATAAATACTAGTACCAATATGCCCTTCCATTGTAAGGGGCGAGGCTCATATAATTAAGGATGGGTTAGGAGGGCAATTGAACTCGGAGCGTGCGGTGGGAGTAGAATGAAAGGAGTGGAGAACAACTCCACTTTTAAAGTGGTAGAGAAAACTATACTCCCTCTGTTTCATATTATAAGAGGCTTTGACTTTTTTCCTAGTCAAACTTTTTTAGTTTGACTAAATTTGTAGAAAAATATCATAACATTCCCAATACAAAACAAACATATTATCAAAATATATTCAATGTTATATTTAATGGAACTAATTTGGTGTTGTAGATGTTGCTAAATTTTTATAAACTTAGTCAAACATAAAGAAGTTTGACTAGGAAAAAAGTCAAAACAACTTATTATAATATGAAATGGAGGGAGTAGGTATTAAAAAGTACACCATATTGCTAAAGTGTGTTACATGGTAAATATATAAAAAAAAAATAAGCCCACTCATCACAATCAGACGATTTAAAAGATCATACTCCCTCCGACCCAAAATAAGTTAGATCTCCAGAGTTCAAACTTTGTGACAGAATGAGTTCATTTCTACTCTGTAACCTACCCTCGGTCCACAAATACAGAAGTTTTACTCCTTCAATACCCCTTGCCTACCCAATCACCAATACCCTAAAGTTGCATCGCAATGCGAGGAATGCTTTTATTTTGGGACACAGGGAGTAAGTTCATACATAATGGAAGAAATCAAGGCTGATGATTTCATGTAGGTAGCATGGACAGTTACTGTCAAGCAAGGTAATATGATGTTAATTAATGCCAATATTGCACTTACACTAGATGCTTCCTCCTGGAGAGTCAACGGGCGTACGGGTCTAAATGTGTGGTTCTGTCGCTTAGCCCATAACCAAAATCGTTGGGATTGTACAGGAATACCAAATTCTTTTGATAAATCGACCTGTCAAGAAAGCATATTTCAATCAGAACACCACATTTTTTGCTATCATGATAAAATTCCAGTATGAACAAAATGTTCAGATTTTGATGCAACAAACACCAAGCAGATCCCCAACAAAGCAACTGAAGTCAAACAACAGCGCAATATAATTTGTTCCAGTTTTCTACTTGCAATAAAGAAATAATAATAACAGCATACACATATTCAATCAAGTAGACATTATGTTTTCAGTAAATAATATATTCCAAACATGGGACTTCAAACAATTTCTCCGAGAGACTGGTTATAACTGAAAAGAAAATGAGCTAGTCTGTTTCTTATACTATTTTGATTTCAACACTGTATCAGATCAATAATGGAGATTACATGTATTCCAGAGAGCCAGCAAAGATAGGCAACCAAAGAAAGAAATCTTTGACCATGTTATTAGGCTTATGAATATAAGAATCTGATCTAACCCAGTATGAACTCTCTTCATAACTCATTATTTGTTAGAAAATCATATTTGAGGCGTATATTTGTGTGTATGAAAAATCTAAAGCACAGCTGTTTGCTTCACCTATGGATAGTCAAACCAGCGAAACTCAACATGCAATTAGACTTAACTTGTTTGTTTATTGTCTTTTGGGGTTTGTGTTTGTACTGTTTCCAGTTTTCTTTCTTCTTTAATGAAATGATATGCAGTTCTCCTGCGTATTTGAGAAAAAAAAAATCATTGTATTGATATATTCAAGTTATCTTTGGTGAATGGTGTTGAATAGCATTTCCATGCAACAAACATATACATGTAGGTTCGACAATGTGTTGCTCTCACAGAATATCCATAGACTATGTTTGTTGTACTCTTAGTTGGTCTATTTTTACAGAGTCAACAAGATCGATCAAAGCTAAACACCTGTGAAAGATTCACCAAACTACACAATCGGGCTTATAAGCTAATAATGAAATAATGTTACTCACTTTAAATTTAAGAATGGAAAACTAAAATACCAGAATTCAAGAAAGTACTGGAAAATAAAATAAAATAAATTGTAGCGTAGTTATGGGGCATCATCAATGCAATACAATTCTGTGCATATCGTATATTCATTAGATATACACATTTTGATATATCATGGATGACAAATGAGGCTCAGCAAAAAGTTACCTTGGCCTGGTTTATTGTCAAATGTTTAGGTGCCCGAAGGCTTTGGATGTTGTCATAATCCACAAGATCAAAATATATATGTTTTCCAATTTGCTCTGCAAAATCAGAATCTCGGGCAACCTAGAAAATGAAGCACTAAGTGAGGAGCAACTAGAATGATAGCATTTTCAGATAATGTAACGTATCAAATAAAGAGGTAAACCTTTAATGCAGTGAACATGTGGGCCTCTGCTTTCTCCTTTTTCTTATACTCTCTTTCTTCATTTTCTTTTCTCAACCTAATCTGGTAAAGGTTTTCATGACATCAGAACAAGTTCTGTGATACCCAAGAAAAGAAAAGGGAAGAAGTATTACCTTAAGGTGTTCTGGTATGTCGTTTTCATCTAAATTGCAAATAATTTTTTCTCTGTCACTTTCACGAATGTACACAAGCATGTAAGCATTTGAATGCTTAGTAAACCTAAGCGGGGTGGTATTCAATCCAGGATTGGTATGTGGGAGCTGTAACAGAAAAAAAAGACATTAATAAAACTAATAGAAGTAAAAGGCCGACTTGGGGCTTCCAGTGTTCATGTGTGTATATACCTCTTCCTCGCCACCGTATTGCTCCTCTAATGCCCGCTTCATGTCTTCTTTTGTCACTCGTTCATCATCAAACTTGTACCTAAATTGTGAAAGTACAAAACATTACATAAATTCATCAAATGACTGTCCAATGGAATGCTAAAAAATTGAAGATAGAAAGGCAGGGCATTATTAGCAACAAAGCAATCGTCTAACAAGCTTATCTTCAAACTAATGTTAACAAAAATGGAATGATCCTTTACAAAGTCATTAAGGATATTCATGCAAATCACATCAATCCATAAAAAGAACTCCTGCAAGCACAACAAAAATAAGATATCTCTTTTTAAGCCTAGTAATGTAGGTCTTGCCCTCTAATGCGAATCAGATGTTCAACAAAAAATATTAGCCATAGAACTGATTCAGCAACAAGTCACTGACTTGCCAAAACAGTACCTGATGTGCATTGTGTATTCTTGCTTCATTGGAACAAATTAATTATAATATTGATGTACGAGTAATATTTTTTTGTTTCTGAAAAAGTTACTACCCAATACAAGACGACAGCAGTCATGTCAACAGGGGAAAAAGAAAATAGGAAAGCGTATACCTATTTTCTAGTAATACGTTCATGCTAATTATTGACCATTTATGTATACCTATTAATGCAAAAGGATCAGATTTTGTATTCTTATGTTTTTTATGAAGAAATAAACAAGAAATTATTTGCTAGGAGAATCAAAAAATATACCTATTCAAAAAGTTTAACATCTAAAGCTACAGAACATACCGTTGTGATTCACAATGTCATTAAAGCATAAGTCCTTTTCTAAATAAATAACATTTGACTATGACTAAAATGAAGTAATGAACTGCTGTGAATGATAAAACACAGCATACTGTATTACTGTTTCACAACGAGAAAGAGAGGATATCATTAAAATAGGATATCATTGCAGCCATGTTTAAAAAAATGAAAAGCAGGGAGTAGGTTTTTATATCATATTTCATGGATCAACTTATCCGTTGATGATTAGCCAACTAGGATGAAAATAAGACGATTAACTATAAAGGAATATCTCAAGTATGTTATAAAGTTCATAGAGCTTCCACTATTTAAACTTAGATGTACCATATATCTGAAAGTGCCGGGCGTATAAAGGCGTAGTAGTGTCCACCATGACCACCACCACTATGAACAAGTACGCTGCATTCAAAACAAGTTGTTAAGACTAGTGTAAGGGTCCAAAGCACTTGTCGATAACAACAGAAACTCCAATGTATGCTCAGCCAGGACAAGCTAAACTGAGAAATGCTTCCTATACACAATCCAAAAACTTCACAAGTAAAGGGTGTAGAAGAAATTGTCTAAGTTCTCTGCCTGAAAATAGCATGTGACATGACTGACCACTGACATTTGTAACAGCTATGTAACACAAATTGCGTGTCAATGCACAAACAAGACATACAAGGGACCATATCAGTATATACACACTGGCCACAACTTCAAACTGGAACGAGTGAGACCAAAGTAATTACTAAAGAAAACAAGGTGGTCATTCCTAACATTGGTTGCAGAGTTTAAGCGCAGCAGGCTGGCTGTGGGCCATAGGATACAGGAGAAAAACAGCAGTGCAGCTGAAGCCTCAGCTAGCTGATGCATGCACTGCAACAGTCTTGAACACATGTCTTTGATAGTCTTTTTTTTTTCCTAATAATATGTTGGTGTAAAAATATGGTGATATCATGGTACTTTAATTGTCAAAAATATATTTCTCTGTGACAACTTCTACATGTGCCAGTAATCAAAATTTTAGAACATCAACAGCAAGCAAGTACAGGATAACTGACAGAGTATAACATACTACAAAGCAAAACAGAAAACATAAATCACATGGAGAGCTTGGAACTACCTGTGTAGAGTATAGAGGTTACGCACCCTCCTGTCAGCTTCTGGAGAGAGGTATTTTCCATCATCCTTGTCAAGATCTAATTGTAATGGGAACTCATAGCGGTCATTTATCTACATTGTCCAAATTAGTTTAGTTTAACCAGTGCAGGAAAAAATTGTGTGTATAAAGTATTTTGCATGTTTCCCTCAAAAGTAAAAGATACAGTTGAGCCTCCAAACTTTAGCAAGCCTACTTTTAAGCAACTAAATAAGGAATTTTCAAGCCAGTGAGAAGATATTAATCCGAGATATTGCAAGCGAACTCCCTCGTTTTCAACATTTGAAGCACCAGGTTCTATCTAATTTTTAGCCTTAAAAAAAGGAACTTCCTGAGGATCACCCAAGTAAATAAACAAAATAAGGTGTCAATGGCATGTGCAGCACTGTAGCAAATTTATTTTCTGCTTGTTTTGTTGCTCACACTTTCATCAAGAAATATAGAAAGTACTCCTAGCCTACAGCGCATCTAGAAGGTTTTTCGTGTGGAGATGGGATATTCAGGAGACAAATTAAAATATGTTCTGGTGCATGTAAGCCATTGACCATTATGTTGAAATGAGGACACACACATAAAAAAAATACAAGAAGCGGAAACCATAATTGCATTAAGAAAGATCTTCTGTTACAAAAGGACATTGCAAATGCGACATCATTATTTGTCCTCTCATGGCTGCCCATGTTATATTTCAGAATTTTAAAAGCAAGTCAAGGAAATGAAGCTAAATTTCAAGGGGGAATTCTCCATATCTTGACAGCTAAGGCTCTTATCATGCAAAACACAATTTGGAAAATCTAGTTTTCCATGTCCTTGATATGTGAGACTACATTATGAAAAGTTCGTTTGTAGCCTATGTTAAATATTAGCAAGCGCCACAATGAAAAGGATAAATCATAGATGAAATCTAGAAACAAGCCAGAGAAAATATAGAGTGAATTTCAGACCTTAACCATGGTATCCCGCACAAAATCATATTCAAACCGCTTTAATTGAACTTGCAGGACTGGAGGGAAGTCAATAAAAAGCATCCCTTTCTTGGCATCCTGAAAAGAGAGGACGAAAATGTTCTGAAGCACACAATCTAAAAAGTCACTTCATTACCAAGTAATTTGTATGTGTCAAAGCACATTTTCCTTATCAAGAATCTAGCATTAAAGTATACTTAAAAAAATTATAGATCAACCAGAGGTGGAAAATAATATTGATGTGCTATGTCACTGGCATGGTCACATTCAAATATGATGACACTTTTTCAATTGATACATCCGTGCACGCTGGGGATAGTGAATAATAATACTACCCAACCACTCAACATAGATTCAACAATGTGCAACTCAGTGGGTGAGCCATGAGCATATGATATTTACATAAGTTACCCTTAGGATGGGAAAACCAACATCCTAGCTTGTCCTTGTGGATGTGCCAGAATTTAACTAAAAGCCAGGCCTACCCACATGGATGGGCTGGGACCAAATCAAACCTTAGATAATATATGAATAGGTTTAACACAGCTCATGTGAAAGATCAATATGGAATTGTGCATAACAACATAGGAAAAGTGTTGCCTAAAATGAATTCAGCTGCAAAGAAATATTTAAATCCAAACATTGGTAAATGTGGCATTTGAAGGTTCTAGATCTCAAATGTCAGTGGGACCAACCTGCAAACCATGTTTCTCAGACTGGTATTTATTATCACCTTCCAATCTCTCTACTTCAACATACTTATCAAATGATGCATAAACATCTGAACAGCCCTTGACATCAAGTGCAAGATCTAGAAAAGAGTTACGAAAATACATGATAAATCTACAATCATGATGAATAGATAAAAACAATAAAGAAACAAGGTCCAGATTTCACCTTGTCACCTACCATAGAATGATTCTTTCCTTGTAGATTTGTAGTCAACATTAATGCACTCAATATAATTCATATGATGACCTTCAAATAGCTGTTGAATTGTCCCTTCCACAGTAGTTCCCTGAATCGAGAGAGTAGTTGTACATTGATGAAACACTATTTATTATCTTACATATAACAAAAATAAATGTCCAACCTTCATTTTGTTTTCCAGTTTTTCGCAGAGAACACGATTCAGTTCTTGAACATCATGCTGCAGGAAAGAATCAACGGTATCCCATCCAAAAGATTTGGTAAGCTCTTTTGTAGAAACACTATTGTCACTATGCTGAAGTTTGCAGAAAAGACTTTGCAAAGCCAAAGGGATGCTCCCGCAAGGTGTATCATTCTCTGTAGTTGGCATATGGTATACAGCCTAAAATATCATTCTCTGTATCAGCCTCGCATCATAGGATTCATTTAAGAGAATTTACAAATTTAGCCTCACCTTTCGGAAGTACGGAATATGGTAAAGCGTCTGAAGAAGAGAATTCATGTAGCATGTAGCCCCTTGATTCTTAAGGCCAACATAGCCAGTCTCCTTTTTGGAATCATAATTCCAGAAATCAACTATTTTACGCACAGCAACCTCAGCCTCAATAATGCATTTATCATTCACAATATAACCTTTAGTCGGATCATATAGATCTCCTAAATGCATAAAAGAAGTGAAGCCCCAATCACTTTCCCGAGTACTGAAATGATGTGCTGCTTCTGTGGAGGGGAAGGAAACTCATGAATAACGACTGGTGAAATTCATAAAGTATTGTGCTTAAAACTAAAGCTTTATATGTAAGTTGAATTAAAAAACTATTGCACGCAAGCAGAAAATTTCTCTCAACTAACATGGAGAAGAAAAAACTGGCAAGCTAGTTTATTTAATATCTTATTTTCTCAATTTTTCATGCTGATCTGAGGGGGATTAAAAACAATCCTGTGACATACATTTCAGGAGAATATATCTATGTGATTGTATATTGCATCAAAATATATTAACTTTCAGGGCATAACATAAGATAGTAGAGCAGCCGTTTAAACGTATCCTCTCAAAAGGCCATCTGTTTTACTTTAGGAAAACCAAGCTAGATTAATCCTATATATAAAGTAGTTAATGCTAATCTTCTCTTCTCTCATGAAGCCACATCATCTCAATTGTTTCTAGAGATCATTCATCTACAGTGCAATTCCATCTTCTCTCATGAAGCTTATCACATCACCTCAATTGGTTTTAGCATTTGGATCATTGATCTATTATTTCTCTTCTCTTATATACACGATCTTAATACTTCTAGCATTGGAGGATCTAAGATAAATGTAATTATTTGTAAAGCACATGAAGTCAATTTGTTAATTTGGCTACAAAGCAAATTCAGTTTGTACCACACTTTTACTTTTTATATCATACAAAATATTGCTAGCAATCTCAAACTAAACAATAACACTTTCAGATAAGCATATCTAATCAGGCAAGAGATAACAGGAATTACCTTTTCTTAGTGAGTACTTGCTGTCTAACTGGTTGATCACAGCAAGGCTGAACTGTGCATATTTACTCCATCCATGAGGCTGTTCATTTGCGTCAGCAATATCTAGGTACATCGAAAGGGACTGTACACTGTTTCCAGTTGGAAAAACTAACACCCGCCTGCAAGGAGGTATAGGAGCACCAAATTAAGCTACGACTAGTGGTGCATGATAAGAAGCAACAAAAAACCGTTTTTACTCACCATTTGTGCCCCCCAACCACAAAAACATCAGAGTACAGCTTTCTGTGATTCGAAAAATCTTCAATGGTCCACGTAAATCTGGACGTAGAGGTTTCTGGTACCTGCTCGTTCTCAACTGTTGATCCAGAGTCTGCAAGATGAAATAAATATGTTAAACAACAAAAGTAACATGATAAACAATTGCATGACTCTAGTGTCACATGCACCGGTGAAAATTAGCATATGCCCATTTTTCAATGACCTGATAACGACAGGTATACCAGTACCACCACAAAAAACAACCAACACACAACCAGGAAAGAAAAAAAACAAACAGAGCATGTTCAGTAGATTGGAATATTACTCTTTTCAAGTTCCAGGTTTCTTAGCCAGCATCTGGAATTCTGCATTGTTTTTTTTCCTTAGCATCAACCAATAGTACAGGACTACAGGACATGTTTATCACCTTATAATCAAAGAGCTAAAACCATCTGGAAACAAACCGCACATTCTTCAATAGTTAACTTACAAACCGCACATTCTTCAATAGTTAACTAGACTTATTTTTTGGGAGAACAAGCCCGAGGACTCCTACTGACCCTGGCGACCTCCCAGTAGAGTTCAGTAATTCTTACAAAACCTATTGTTTGCGAGTACCGAAAAAACTAAATACCAGAAGTTTGCAAGTACAGCGTGAATGCACGATTCATAATTAATGTTTTGGGCAGTGGTTCTAGAGACTAGTCGCATCCCATGAAACATACTATGAAAAAATGGCCTGAGTTAACACCCTAAAAAAATATAACCCAATTAATAACAAAGCTTGACAAACAGATCAGATTAAATTCAGAGGAAAAATATAAAAACACAGAGAAATCTCACCTTCCATCGGCTGAGGTCCCTCAACAACAACATCCTGGTCTGGCACCAGCATCTCCTCATCCTGGTCCTGCTGCAGGAGCTGCAAACAACAGGACATGCAACCAAAACCCAAACCTTTGTAAATCTCCACCGCATCTCAGTAAAAAAAAACACCCAAACCCTAATAGAAACCATCTCGAAGCGCACAACCATCTACGCCTACCGAACCGCAAAGCACTCTGACCAAACGCGGAGCAGGGCAATGGTGTGCGAGTCGCGGGGAGATGCCAGGCTTTACCTCGGGTGCGCGCGGGGTCACCATGGTCATCTACCACGGCGGCGGCCCGGCGAACGGGGGTAGAACCGGATCGCGGCGATCGCCGCGCGGGGGGAGGGGATCTCCTCTAGGGTTTAGGGAGATTTAGGGAGAAGCGCGGGTGGAGGATGCGGAGAGGGGGAAAGAAACCGGAAGGGGCGCGTGCTAACCCTGCTTTATAAAGCGCGTGTGACTGGGACGCGGGGAGGTTTCGGTCTTTTGGATGGGTGGTGTTGGAACCTGGGAGTCGTAGGTTACTAGGAAAGTTGTTTGCAACCGAGAAAAACATTACTCCCACCGTTCAAAAATACTACGAGTATTTTTAGATTTTGACACAGTTTTCAAAATGTTACTATAACCAACAATATATATAAAAATAAAATATTTTAAATAAAAAGAGCTGTATATTATGTTAGTTTGTTTAATGACAAATCTAGTAACATCTATTTTACATGATTGATGTTTTTTATTTTTTCTATTATAATAGTCAAAGTTAAAAATGTTTGACTTGACACTATGCTAGAATTGCTTATGTTTTGGGACAGAGGGAGTACTAATTTCGTTACAAATTATTGATACATGATACTCCCTTCGTTCTATAATATAGCAACCTACTACCGGATATGACACTTTATAGTGCAACGAATTTAGACATGTTTCCTACCAGATTCATTGTACTGTAAAGTGTCACATCCGATACTAGGTTGCTATATTATGGGACGGAGGGAGTATCATTTATATGTGCAGATGGTTTAATAATAAACTTCACGGAAAGTTGTTAATATCGTTCATAATTTTATTCAGGTCGTGTATTGCAACGTGACGGAGCGTGGGGCTCCTCACCGGGAGACCGCGCTGGCCCCCCTTTGCCGGTTCGGCCGGGGACCCTGGGTGAGACTCTAAGCTCCCAATCTGTGGAAGGTTCGCGAGACAGGAAGCACACAAGACGCCGGCGATGTATACAGGTTCGGGCCGCTGAGAAGCGTAATACCCTACTCCTGTGTTTTGGTGGATCTGTGTATGAAGAAGCTACAAAGTGCGAGCCAGCCCCCGATTGTTCTAGGATCGTTCTTTTTCTTCTTTTTTCCTCTCTAAGTGGGCAAGGTCCTCCTTTTATATCTCAAGGGGATACCACATGCACCATCTCTCCCTCTCTTTCTTTTGTGTGGGGACTCATCCTCTCTTCCCTCCAACTTGACTTCTCTTCATTAATGGACGGAGATTTGTATGGCTGCCGTCCGAATGACCTTCTGATGGGACGGCCCATACCTACCTCCACTTCCGCCGGAAGCAGGCGCGACGTGGGAACATGGCTGTCTGCTGACGACATGACCATTGTTAGACCGGTCACAAATCGGTCATTCTTGTCCACCACGTGTCAGTTTAACAATCTGCATGTTCGCCCTTCTTCATACAATATCTTGCCTGTAATGGTTAGGATGAAGCCTGGCATATATCTGACCGGAACCAACGTGCCATCTCCAGGAGCTAACACGCCGGCTCCGGCTAGGGACGAGTGCTTGGAGGCTCTCGTCCTGACGGGATGGGGCAAGGCGTGCGTCAGACCGCCTGTCGCCACCTAACCCACGATCTGACCGGTCTGTGACTGGTCACTGACCGGATAAACGAGCGCGCTGCACTGCGTTACATGCGGCGTGACGCGCTCGTCCAAACCGCAATAAATGTGGTTAGGTGAGCCCCGCTATGCTCACCTACCCCATATACGCGGCGCAAAACCCACAAGGGGTCGGGGCGCCTCGGCCCTCGGGGCCGAGACGGGAGCGGTCCGACCCCTCGGGGAGACAAAGAGAAGGGCGGCCGTATCACCCTCGGGCCCGACCCCCCCGAGGGTGCCAGGCCACGTGGGCGATTGTGTCTGCCTCAAGCCTCTAGCCATGATACTCCCGGTCCCATGTCACCGACACAACGGATGAAAGTTATTTTAATCGTATTATTGTTAGAATTTTTTTCCTAAAAAGTATATGAAATTTTTAATTTAATAGTATTGGTATCTAATTCGGAACCTTTATTGGGATGATGCCAGCATCTTGTATGTTGCTTTCTTATGGCTTGGCGAGAATTCTGAAGTAATTAGGAGTCCGACTCTCATCCTAAGTTAGCATGTGAATTTTTTAAAAAGGTTCATTATATAACTTCTTATGTATTTCCAAAGGGACTATCTAAAAACTGCTGCAAGTTTTTTAGGAAAAAAAATTAAATATAACTATAGTATAATTGTATTATAATTCCATTGTAACTATAATATAACATGTATATAAGTATTAGAATAATATATGTGTCGACGTTTGATATCACGACTACGGTATTTTGCATAGTATGCAGATCGTTGGTACCAGGGTATGTGCGAGATTGAAGTAAAAGAGATGGAGACAAGGATTTTTATACAAGTTCGTGAATCTGACAGGTATTAACCTACTCCTGTTGGCCGAAGCTAGTGTTGCTCATTTATTCATCTGAATCACACAAGTACAATAATTGGGATAACCCATGCGGCATGGATAACCAACTCGTAGTCAACGACAGGGTAGTCTTCCTCCTCGAATCCACACTCGGCCAGATCAGAGATAGCGCTAGATCCCTCTTGTTGGCCTCCCCAGACACCATATTAGGTTTGTCTAGGCTTATCTCTGATGTCGATATCCGGCGGCTTGTCTTGGCGTGTGTTGGCTTGTATTGATCTATGTTGATCAGTTGCTGTTGCGTGCCCTCTCTCCCACTAGGGGGTCTTGTATTTATACCCATAGATGCCCCATTATCCAAGTAGTACTAGGGAGACCAATATTGATACAATCCGGATAGTCCTTGTCATTTCCATATAGAACTATTTGTTCTTCCTTATCCGGAACTCCTTCTATATACGAGGTATGATTCCGTATAAGACTTAGTACATGGTGGACCCTGCCGAGCTTAGTCAACTACTATTAGGTATGTGGTATCCATAACAATGATAATATGCAACTTTATATCTAACTTATATAGATATTACAATGTAGTTACAGTGCAGCTATGCTGTAGGTACAATGTAACTATAGTGTAATTGCATTGTAGTTACACTATAACTACACTATAGTTACAGTCCACTAATGCACCATCATATCAAATTGATGGAGAAAATTTCTGGCCTAAAATCCTAACCATCGAAATAAAAAGGGTGAATAACCAACATGGTCCTTCAACTTTCGATTAAGGATTTAGTCCCTGACATTTCGTATTGTCCAAACAAATCCCTAAAATTCATTGTGTGATTTACTATAGTCCTTGGACCCTCTAAAAATGACATGTGTACATGCCGCATCATCTATGCATGCAAATTAAATTTTTAAATGTCCATTATACCCTTACGTTTTCACAGGAAATAAAGAAAAACTATTGAGAAAACAAAAGGGTTTTGACCATTGCCAAAAAGATATAGCATTGGTAACCACATTGTTTTATGATTGCATCTTCGTATTTTTCCCTTTGTTTTTATTTTCTTTTTTTTTCAAGAAAATGTAAGGTTAAAATTGACATTTAAATGTTTAACTTTACATGCATGAATGACGCGGCATTTTCACGTGGCGTTTTAAGTGGGTCCAAGGACTATGTTAAGTCATGTGATAATTTTTAAGGACATGTTTGGACATTATGAAACATCAAGGACTAATTCGACATCTAAGCAAAAGTTGAAGGACTAAACTGCATATTCACCCAAATAAAAAGGATGATCAGATTGTTGGAGACATGCTACGAGGATTTATACATGATCAGCTCGTAGGGCGCCGCTTGGTCAGACTTGACAATGAAGAAAATTACTTATTTTTCCGTGTCATAATTTTTAAGGACATATTTGGACATTATAAAACATCAAGAACTAATTCGACCTCTAAGCAAAAGTTGAAATACTAAACTGCATATTCACCCAAATAAAAAGGATGATCCGATTGTTGGAGACATGCTACGAGGATTTATACATGATCCCAGCTCGTAGGGTGCCGCTTGGTCAGACTTGACAACGAAGAAAGTTACTTATTTTTCCGCGTCATATATAGTTTCATGCGATTAACACCCGTGATGTACTTTAATTTGATACATTTTAACCTGAGACGTATAATAGCTATTTGGTGGCTTGAAAATATGAGCGATTTTCCAGGGAAAATCTATCGAATAATTTTTAGATAGTCCTTTTGAGAATTGCAAAAAAAAGTGTCGTAAATTTTTTAGAGCATATAGACTGATAATAGACAAGGTACTTAATGACAATTTCTTTTGGAACATATATATACAGCTGCAATATAATAGTAACAATTACATCTATACCAACCTAGTAATATAATCTTGGTGGACGAGGTTCGCCATCCTTCAACATAGGGGAGACCTTGCAAAGGAATGGCCCCTGTGGCTGGCCATGTACCACAGCCGTGCGCCACAGCATCACAGGTAGTTGACCGCAGCAATCATCCAATCTCACCTGCACCTCCAACGACACCCGCTCGTGCCGCCGCCGCTGGCTCTCCATACGCTCGTAGAGCTCGCTGGGTATCCCCAGTCCGTCGCTGGTCGCCACGATTGGCACGGAGCTGACCACCTGCCCCGGCACGCAGAACCCGCCGGGGAGGTCGACGTGGCCGAGCTGCACGCCTGCGTACGACACCGCCGCGCTGGCTCGGCTGGTGCAGAACGGCCGGCGCGTGGCTTCGTTATCGACGCGGAGGGTGACGTTGAAGACGGGCGCGGCCAACGCGCTGGGGCCCCTCTCGAGCCCCTCGATGCCGGGCACCTTCACCCAGAAATCGGGCGTCTTGTAGCCGTATACGCTAGCCCAGCACCCGTACACCGGGAGCGCTAAGCAAATCGCCATAAGGATCACCGTGACAGCGCATTGTATATGCGGATGGCCGTCCAGGCAATCGCGGCGGCGATCCTCATCTTCAACGAGGCCGGCGCCCATGGGTGGCAAGTAGATGAGACCTCGGCGAACAGGAGAGGCAGGGAGATATAGATCGAAATCAATCGAGGACGTAGCGTACCAGACTTGGCTTTTGATGGGTACACGTACGTTTGTTATTGCAAAAAGTAGATCGAGCACGTTAATTTGTTTGTTCATGGTTATCATGGTAGTAGTTCGCAAGGGACAAGAACTTCTATGCACAAACGTAATCAAGGCCATAATTCGGTTGGAACTGATC